TCAAACAAAAAGTTAGTATAAATCAAAAGGTTGCTTACAGTGGAGCGACCCTTCACAAAACCATGCTGCTGGGGGATGATAAGATTGTGAATTTGCGGATAAACAACATTATGAACCAGCTTTTCGAGTACCTTTGTTAGTGTCGATAGAAGAGAAATAGGGCGATAATTTGTGACGTCACATTTGTTACCACTTTTAAATATGGGTGTTATGTTTGCTGTTTTCCATAGCTGAGGTACGACTCCCTCCCTTAGACTTTTATTATAAAGTATAAAGAGGGGTTCACTTATGGACTCGGCTGTGAGTTTTAAGAAAAGTGGTGGAATGTTGTCAGGTCCCGTACTCTTTGTGACATCTAACGACTCAAGTGCGCTCGTGATAGTACTTTTCGTTATATGAATGTTGCAAATACTTACGTTATTTACAGACGATGACTGTAAGTCATTCAGATCCAAGTTATCAATGCTACCTGTTTCATACACTGATCCAAAAAAGTTTGAGAAATAGTCACATATTGTTACTGGGTCATCAGATTCGTTTTCATTAAATTTGATTAAATTAGGTATTCCAGCCTTCTGCCTACGGTTATTGATATATTTCCAGAATGTTTTCAGATCCCTTTGTATGTGGTGTTCTACTTTTCCTATATATTCTTTAAAACATTTTTTACTTAGCTTCTTAAACCTACGTCTAAGAATGGTAAATTCATTATAATCAGCCAAGTTACCGTACTTTTTCCAATGTGTCCAAGCCCTATCTTTGTTTTTGAATATATGTTTTAGTGGATTTGAAAACCAAACAGGAAATTCATTACTTTTTACGGGTCTCATTTTTATGTGTTTTTTAATAATTTCATAATTTTTTTCATAAAAAGCATTTACCGCTATATCAGTAGGTAAATCACTCAACATCAAGTCCCAGTCTATGCTATCAATATCCTGATTGATATTGGTATAATTTCCCTCTGCAAAACGATATTTTGGTGTTGAATATCTTGGCAGTGGCTTATGCAGTTGATTGACACTTGTCAATGTCAAAAATGGTGGATGTAAACAATCAATAGGGACCAGAAATGTAGATGGGCATTCACATGTGCATGCATCAGCATTAGATATGCACAGATCCAATATGCGACCCATGTTATTAAACAAGCCGTTATGCTGCCTACCATTAATTACTGATAGAAAATTACTAAAATATTTGTAGAGGTTTGTATTGCAACATTCTAAACGGATGGTGTATATATGAGGGCTTGTTTCATGCCAGTCTAGCTTAGATAAATTAAAGTCTCCAAGTATGTAAAATTGATTGAATTGACTAGTAATCTTTCCTTGTAAGGCATCAATAAATGATATGTAGGTAGTGTAATTTAAATTAGGAGGAAGGTACATACCGCAGATTATGTGTTCCTTGTTATTTTGATTACTTGACAAACTCAAACAAACGTATTCTATAGTTGAAGGTAATAATAGACTATCACGGCTGCTATTCAGCCAACATCTAGCTTTACGTGTATACCATGACGCACAGCCACTAAAACACCGCCGCCATCCGCCTTATCACAAGAATTCCTGTCCCTGTCACATCAAAACACAACATAACGACTATCAATTACCTCGTTATCTGCAATGCTGGGCACCAACCAGGTCTCAGTTAGAACAATCACATCATAACACTCCGCCAAAATATTTGTGTACAATGTATTAAGCTTGGTCCTCAATCCTCTACAATTCTGATAATAAATACTCAGCTTAATGTCATCACAACCGAACACTGTAACTTATCTTTAAATAATCAAATATTATTCGTGAAAATATTATAAGTTTACGCAAAAAGAAAACACTCGCGACACCCATAATGCCCATGATTTAGCCATACAAATAACAAACCGCTACTATTTCTATAAACTATTAGGCACCCCGATGAAAATATTACATAATTTATAACTAAAAAAGGAAATATAATGTCTTTTAAAAACATTAATTGACAATATGCACCAATGACGGTGCTCGCACAAATTTGCCGAACGGTTAATAACGGCAGACACACAGAGCACTGCACACCACAGATACCACCTTCACTACCACATTGATTTGAGAATAAATTCATTAGTGAGACTATGCTACTTTTTGGATAGATCTTCTTTTGTACGAATCGCGAAGACTGGTGAAGTATCATTCTTCCTGACAAGAATAGTCCCGTACTTGATCCACACATATGCAAATTGGTGCTTCTTTGCGGTGTCTCTTGCTTCTCGAAACAACATTTTGTTCTTCAGTATAAGATGCTCGTTTATATACACCTTCTGTGGTCTACCCGATACATTCAGGTCCGAGGTTGTCAGCCCCTTTGTCCGACGTGCCGCCGTGATGAAGTTATCCCGCGTAAGTCTGTTGCAGAATTTTACTATGATGTTTTTGGGACGTGCACTGTTTGGACTGGCTTGAGGAACACGATGAACTGAAACCACATCATGCTGAGATATGGGCTGCTTTATTGAAGACGCAATTCCTTCAATTATTGAATGTAGATTTTCTCCCTTTTTTTCAGGTATGTTACATACTTCTATGTTGCAGCAGCGAGCTTGTTGCTCCAGGTTGTCCATCTTGGCCTCGAGGAGACATGTCTGTCGTAGGCCATTCTGCGTTTCCACCACATTTCTTTCCAAGACAGCTACTCGGCTCTCAATATCTTGCGTTTTCTTATTTAAATCTTCGTAATTCTTACTAATAATTTCGCCAGCCGTTAACTTGGTCGGACGTGTCAGCGCTATGAAAATATTTAATTTAATTATTCATTAGCAATATCGCGACCTACATTCTCGGAACTCGGAAGTGTTCTACTGTGTCGTTCGTTTCTAATTAGACACCGAACTTATAATGTTAAGTGATTCGACATAGTAATATGGAAGGAAGTCCCTTCAACCGGAGCGCGCTCACGCAGCGCAGCCCTCCGCCCACGCCCTCGCAGCGCGCGCCCCCCGCCGCCCCCGCCGAGCACGTCATGGAACCACTCGAAGTGGTGGCCACTTCAGAACTCCAGAACTGGATGAAAAGCATCGAGCAGTGCCTGAATGAGGTGTGCATAATCTCATCGGAAGGAAAACTCAACACTGACCAGAAACTGAGGATTAGTAACCTGTGCAGAAGGGTGAGCCCGATCACAGACTGTTCTACTAACCTTAAAACCGAAATCATTGTACTCGTAAATTATTATTTTTGTTGACACAGACACCTGCATGCCGTATGTAATAGAAAACGCTAAGTAAGCAATATTAAGTAGCACACTGTAACCATAATAAATGATTTTAATTCTTAGATTTTGCTTAATGTGTAATTGTGTATAGATTTAAATTTTTAGTATAAATATAATTTGTATGTAAGTGGATTATTTATGTATAATATTAATATGTATTTTGCTAATGATAGTTAATTAAAGTATAGTTAAGCCTTTATTTCGCCTGAGATACAGGAATAAATTTCCTAGTTCAGGCACATGTATAATTTTACCTTTTGTAGCATAAGATTAGCCTAGAGTTTAAACTGTCAAATAAGTTATACAATAAAGAATTATTTATTTAATTATTTATTTATTTATTATTTATTGAGTGTTTGATATCTTCAAAGTTTTGTAGGATCTTCGCTAGCTTTTCGTCCTGTTTTGCGAAATAAGTTTCCATCATGATAATAATATTGTTTTGGAAGGACTGCATTTCCGTCCCAATGCTTGTTCTCTCTTCTTCGCTTGGCCTTGACAAACATTTACGACGAGTCACGAACGCAGGAGGCGATTCCCTGTCGATCAGCGATCCATCGATGCTCATCTCACCAGACAGCTCAGCCTGAGCAGACGCGTCGAATGTGTTGTTCATCGTTGTGTACCGGCTGCGTCTATCTCGTAAACTACTCTGTGTTGTGACGGAGCGCTGCTATTCAAACGCACGCAGGTAACTATGACTCACGCGCACTCACTACGCTTATAGAAACGAGGCGACCGCGACCGGTTCGAGCCGATGCGCGCGAAGCGAGATAAGAAATGATTAAGAATCAAACGAACTTACCTGTGATGTTTGATATCTAATTATACGAGTGTCCTGACCGAAGATGATTACGTTTTACATGCAGCAGTACCTGGGATGATGCCGTCCTTATCACACTTTTAGAGAATATTTATTTAAAAATATAAGTTTTAAATATAATAANCTGTAAACCTTTGAAAAAGAGGCTGACAATAGTGACTGAGTTTCTTGCGCTGCTTCTTCTCAGCACTGGCCCATTCATTGTCCTGAAGCAGTGGTAGGGTTAATACTGGGACGTGTAAAAGTGCTTTTTTTAAGCCTATTCACAGAAATAAATGAGTTTTATCGATTATAATTAAACATTAGAACATTCACGTTACAAAGTTCATAAAATACCTACCTACTTATTTTTATGATTTAACGTGATGAAATAGAGTTTTAGATTTTCAAGTGAAAGTAAAGCATAGCCTAAGCGCTTCGCGTTTAAGGCATGCAAGATATTTTACGCTCCTATCTAAATTAATCTTTTTTTATTTCGGTCAGACAGGCGTTGGAGCGCGGGGCCCCCAAATTCGCGGGGCCCGTAGCATTTGCTACTCTTGCTACGTGGCTAATCCGGCACTGTTTAAATCAAAACATTATGTTATATGCATCATGGAAAAGTAATATTATGCAAAAAACATTCCAAACTCATTATGCCAAATTATACCAATATATGATATCAAAACGTTCAAAAGTTTGGCTGTACACGAGCACGTACACAAGATGTTGTTCACTTTTATGAAATTTGTTAGTACTAAGGTTGAATTATTAAATAATCACTGTTAAATGTGATTAATTTATCACTTTCACCGCGACTGTCGGGAATTATTCATAATAACCGGTTATTATTAATAATTTTCAATTTATCACATTAACCGTAACATATATATCGCGAACAAGAAGGTGTTAAAAGCACCGGCAATCTCGACAAGCAACTCACCTCAAGTACTTCAAATATCCAGCCAGCTCAGGCACGTGCGTGATGTCCTGCCTTGCCGGCGGACCGCCCTCAAGTTGGGCCTGCAACTCGCTAAGCGCCGCGTCAATTTCGTCTTCGGGCGCGACTCCGGCGCCGGGTGTTGTGTGGGAGCCGTCGGCTGCGTCTACGCTGCCACCCGCTAGTGTTTGCAGCTCGATTTGCAGCTGGAATTAAGGTATTTATTCTGAGAATGTTTTGGATGTTGGGTGGACGTTTAGGCTGGTTTTAGTGTCACGCGGACTGTCAGTGCGGATCGCTCCGCACAGCCGATCTGTATGAACTGCTAGGGAGCGGAGCGGTTCCTCCGGACCGCATTACTCTAAAACGCTCCCTAGAAGTTCATACAGATTGGCCGTGTGGAGCGGGTCCGCACCGGACGGTCCGCGTGACACTAAAACCAGCCTTAATTATTTAATTCTGTACCTAAACGAAACGCTACATTACGGTGAATAAAATTGGCGAGTAGGTGGTTAATGGTTGGTCACTGTGGACGTATAAATGTTATGGAAGCACCGTTTGATGTCCAATAGCCTATCTATATCATTGAAATATTGCTCATTTTGGAAATATGGTATCAGTCGAAGTTCGGAAAAATCAGGATCCTAGGACTGAAGTGGAATTGTATAACTGTAAAGCAATCGTTATCATTTGACAGTTCATAACGTACGATTATTCTGTCAAACGCTTTGTTTAACTGACTTTATCGTACGTTATGAACTGTCAAATGATTAAGATTGCTTTACACAATTCCATCTCTGCTTTATAGCTTAGGCGCCGCTCAGGCTCTATTATAACAGTAGGTATAGCCTGACCAGGAACATAAAAACCCTCGCCATGTTGCGGAAAATTAATGGTACTAATTTCTTTTAATGGCAACAGTAACTGAAAAATTCATTGACATGTCACCTTGCATGTCAGTCTATTGTTGTCAAAGTGTAAACAAACTTTATTTTAAATGTGCGCAATTGATTTTGTGAATTAAATTGCTAAAATCTTTTTATAGTCGTGAAAGAAAAGTGGTTCACAATGTGTTAAAGTATTTGTCGAAGAGAAATACTAAGGGTTCGGACAATATTTTATAGCCTGACCAGGAACATAAAAACCCTGGCACAGAGGCGCTTCAATTGCATTTGATAGTGCAACACTGAGTACAGTCGTACATGTGTTAAATTAATAGGCTAAATTTATGTATCAGGATTCAGGATTACGGGCTAATTTGATATTTTCATAAATTAACGAACAATATTATTAAAATAAATCCTACTAGCTCGATTGATGGTTTCATTTAATTTATTTAAACCAGTTTACCTATATTATAATTATTTTTTGTTAATTTATGAAAATATTAAATTAGCCCATAATCCTGAATCCTGATACATAAAGTTAGCCTATTAATTTAATACAGGTACGACTGTACCCAGTGTTGCACTATCAAATGCAATTGACGCGCCACTATGCCAGGGTTTTTATGTTCCTGGTCAGGCTATAAGTAAGTATCTAGTAGGCCTAATTGGTATCAGTATTTTGTTTTATAATACAAACGCTTTGCACTGCGTATGACTGTATCTGGTTTCCAATCTGGTATTCTATAACTAAACTAACGTCATCAAACGGAAAATTCTTGCGAAACATCAAGTCTTAAGTCACCTGTAAAGCAGCAAACAGCAACATCTCCTCCTCAGTACAGTGCACCTCCTGGTTGAGGATCTGCCAGCGAGTCTGCTGGTACAACTGGTTGAGGCGAGACGCGTCTTGGACCCGCGGCGTCAGATCGAAGAACGAGTAGAACTTGAAACGGAGCTGTAAGGTGTCATCAAGTCCAAGCAACTCACCTGTAAAGCAGCGAACAGCAGCATCTCCTCCTCAGTACAATGCACCTCCTGGTTGAGGATCTGCCAGCGAGCCTGCTGGTACAACTGGTTGAGGCGAGACGCGTCTTGGACCCGCGGCGTCAGATCGAAGAACGAGTAGAACTTGAAACGGAGCTGTAAGGTGTCCCACTCGCGGACGTATTGCTCCATTATGGACAGCGAGGAATCTAGCCAGCTGGAATAAAATTGATTAATGGTTAATCGAGGATATCAAAAGGATGACCATGAGATTTATTATGGTTCAAAATCAAGGAGATACGAGAATCTCAAGCTCAAAAATACATGTTTCGCCCTAAGGTTTCGCCACATACTGTGACTGCTATCAAAATTGCGGGAATTCAAGTGTACTCTGTTCCCTTTTTCCAACGTATTTGTTACAGAGTCCACCATGAAAGGTGAAGTAAATCGGTTTTGGAGAGGAGACCACGACACGGAAAGTATTATGAGGGATGATGCATAATGAACCGACCATAAGAAGATAACTGGCAGTGGCTTAATGAAAGAAGCGTTCCTGCTATGTGATGCTGACGACTAAGAATTTCAACTACATTATGGTTCTCGGTAAGTTTTTTTACATTATTTAAACAGTCTTACTTAATTATCTTTTATGAGTTTTGAGCGTATCTTAGTTAATATAGATACTAAACACTATCATACATACCCAACATTCATCCTAGCCCTCTCCATCAAGGACTTAGGCGTGAGCAGCGACTCTCGCGACTGACTATCTGGTTCCAGGGGAGAGTCTGCTAGAGACAGGTCCGCTAGTGAGTCCAGGGCGTCTAAGGAAGCCGCCCGGGGCGGAGTCCCGCAGTACCCCCCATCGCTGGAGCCGTCGCTTTGTGTGCTGTAGATGTGACCTCCGTAGCGGCGGAGTGTGCCGTTCTGGAAAAGTTATAGATATTTTGGATCAAGAGATTTGCGAACTATGTGCAGATTTAGCCATCTTGCGACTGCCTCAGTGCCTACTTACGAGGGCGGCACTGAAAATTTCGGGAATCAAGGAAGTGAAACAACATTACTATTTAAAAATGTATTTATTGCTTTTTAAAGTATTCTCCGCGAAATTTGACACATTTTTCCATACACGAAACCAATCATTGAAGCAACCATTGCATTCGGAAGTTTGGGTCTCCAAAATGGCCGTTATGTAGGCTTCCACAGCTTCTTCAGGTGATGAAAATCTCTGACCACGCAATTTATTCTTTATTTTAGGGAAAGTATAGAAATCATTAGGGCTTAGGTCGGGGCTGTACGGCGGATGGACTAATAATTCGATGTTTTCTTGCTCTAAAAACTCTTTTGTTCAGTGCGCGGTGTGAGAACTCGCATTGTCGTGATGGAGGATGATGCGGCGGTTGCAGTTCTCTTTACGGAGTTCAGAAACGACCTGTGGCAAACAAATGCTAGCATACTAATCTGCATTAACCGTTCTTTGTCCCCCAAGAGGAATAGTCGCAACATGGCCGGTTTTGGAGACAAACGTGGCCACCATTTTTTTTGCAACACTCCGTGAACGAACAATTTTTGTTGGCTTTAATTCATTTTCGAACACCCAAACTCGTGACTGGTTTTTTGTTTCGGGTTCGTACGCGTATATCCATGATTCGTCACCTGATACGATGTTGTATACAGCATTTGAGGATCCTGCATGTAATCTCCCGAGAGTTCTGACGCACCAAGTAACGCGAGCCGCTTTTTGTTTGTTCAGTGCGCGGTGTGAGAACTCGCATTGTCGTGATGGAGGATGATGCGGCGGTTGCAGTTCTCTTTACGGAGTTCAGAAACGACCTGTGGCAAACAAATGCTAGCATACTAATCTGCATTAACCGTTCTTTGTCCCCCAAGAGGAATAGTCGCAACATGGCCGGTTTTGGAGACAAACGTGGCCACCATTTTTTTTGCAACACTCCGTGAACGAACAATTTTTGTTGGCTTTAATTCATTTTCGAACACCCAAACTCGTGACTGGTTTTTTGTTTTGGGTTCGTACGCATATATATCCATGATTCGTCACCTGATACGATGTTGTATACAGCATTTGAGGATCCTGCATGTAATCTCCCGAGAGTTCTGACGCACCAAGTAACGCGAGCCGCTTTTTGCTCTTCACAGAGCGAATGCGGTATCCATCGGGAAAACAACTTTTTTACACCTAATTGTTCATGCAAGAGTATTTGTATTTGACTCATGCCAATGTCTAAAGTTGCCTTAATTTCGCGGTATATCACATGTCGATCTTCTTCAATCAGCTTACGCACAGCATCAACGTTTTCTTAGGTGACTGCAGTTTTTGGACGACCTTGACGGGGATCAGCACTGAGCTTGACACGTCCACGTTGAAATTCAGGAAACCAGCGATAAATTGTGGTTTTGGATGGGGCTTCATTACCAAATGCAGAAATAATCCGGTCAACACACTGTTTTTGTGTTAAACCACTCCGAAAGTCATAATAAATCATCGCTCTTGAATTTACTCCAGTCAATTCCATTTTCGCAACGACTAAACAAGTTTCACAAGACCTTGTGATAAGACCGAGAATCTTTTTTTAAATAAATAAATGGTATACGATTTTTAAAACCCTGGAGTTTGCAATTAAATAGATTTTAATATGACTGGAACAGTGGAAATATTCCATTCCCGATACTTTTAGTGCAGCCCTCGTAGATATATCAGGCTGTAATAAATAGTAAACAGATTGTATCAGAAGCTCAATTATACGAATGTAAATGGGAGATGATTGTGGAAGAAGATTTGTAAATTAAAAGTCTAGGTTCTGATCGAACTGATGATGCCTGCAGGGCTACTCCTAAACACTGTTCACTTAATTTCGTGTCTATCTGTCACCGTCTCTCATGCTGGCATCTCGCTTTGCATGAGAGGGATGGCAAACATTCGAAACTTTGGATTACGTTTTTCGGAGTAACCACGCCGCACCGCTCCAGAATAAAAACTTCTTATCAAATGATCAATGGTATTTAGACCATGTATTTTTGCTAAACTGACCTGTTGTGAAGCCACAGGTGTAGCCGACAAAGACCTCGGCGGTGGTGGAGTGGCAGGACAACCGTTAGACCTGTCCAAACTGTTCGAGGAGCCTCTGGTCGCCGCGATGAATGTGTTCGTGTCAGGCTGTGAGGACTTCAGCCTCTTCGCCTCTTTGAGATTTTGGTAGTTCTGCTTCAGGTGTGACGGTTCTAGGGGGTAGCATAGCGATAACTCTTCTGGATGCCTTATACCTGAAAAAACAAGAATAATATTAGTGTCGTTTCTTTAAAGGCACTTTAAACAGGTTGGTCTGTCTCATCATCAACAATCTTTGCTGATTATGGCCTATATGGGACTATTCCCACCTCTAGATCTCACCGCAACTCTTGTGTAGCTAGGATCTACCAGCTTGACCGCCAATAAAAACCCAATCAGTGAAGGTGAAGTTTGTCCCGGGGGAAAGTTAAACTGTCATTGGACTCGCGACGAAGTAATCAGAAGAACATAAGAGTTGTTCGAAGTTATGTTTCGACTCCTCTCCAGTGCAAAGCGGATGATTATGGGCTATGGCCTAAGCAAACTAAACATAATAGTATGCTGCATTCTACCTCCGGCAAATAGGATCTCAAACGTGGATGGATGGACAAACGTGACATTTATAACTACAATTCCTCGATGGTCTGTAAGACGTTAACCTAAGTAGCACCTGAGGCAGCAATGTAGAACAATTTACGAGCGTTTACAATGTTGCTAGTGCTCAATTTATCGCCTCCATTCCACGTGCGTGTCCGTCATCATGAATTACAATCGTTAGGTACAACCATGTTAGGTTAAAGTTATAAGGAAATAGGTAAACAACTTAATGCTTTATACTAGCAGATGCATCAATTTAGATCCAATAGAGTGGAGCTCTAGGTATTATGATCCCAGCAGCTAGAAACTAGGGTACGTAATCAGAATGTTTCCATCCCCTTTTACTATGGTTTTATTATTACCAAGTTGTCGTAAAGGAGAGGAGTGACTCATTCCCTAAGTTTTGTAATAAAGAGTTACAAAGTTGTATGGCAGCGAATCAACGATGAGAGATATTGCTGAAATTATGTTTGATCTTTATTGAGTCTGGAGATCATCATTATTTTATCAGAAAAGTACTCTTGAATAGTCTATTAAAAAAGGGTGATAAATTAACTTTGACCTTATGGAATTTTCTTGTTACGGCTTTATACTGGGACTATCAAAAGCTGATCGAGTTTTATTGGCAACCAATTAACAACAAACAATGGTGGGCAGCGAGCGAATTAGTAGGTACTGTACAAAGAGTTATCTCTACATAAGCCAGTCCTTATTTACAAAGCATCGAGACCCGACTGCCTCTTCACCGAGCGAACAAACGAAGATAAATATCTCTTAGTGCGTTTACTTACCGAGACTCTTGCAAAGCTGCACCACAGCGCTGAATGTGTCAATCGAGAAGTCAATCTTGCAGTCTATGTATCGTAAGTCCGGCAGCTGGATCCTCAAAGGTTTGTGCATGGGTGTGAAGTGGAGGGCGGCGTCTGCGTGGACGCCATACTGGTCCAGCGTGTGCTTGGGCCTGGCGAGCCATTTGTTGCGCGTGGGCCACCAGAGGGCGTGGTCTGACCAGTCTTTCTTGAAGTCTGAAAAGAAAATAGGATCATTATTGATAAAATAGTCCCAATTTGTAAGCGTGTCAGGTTTAAAATATGCCAGTTTTTTACAGATGGTATAAAATGTCGGTTACTTTGGTTTTCCTGTGGACCACCTCATTTCTGATTCGATCACGCAGGAAAACTCCCGAGCATAGCACGCTCCATTGGCCTTGAGCCTTCTTGTGAGGCCCATAGTAAGCGAAAGAAGGAAGATGAGATTAGCGGACCGACGATCTGGTGAAGATCGCGGAAAGTAAAGTGTAGGCAGAGCAGGACCGATCCTTGTGGAAATCCTTGGTCCCAGGCCTTTGTCCAGTAGTGGTAAATACAACGAGTAAAATAGGACACGTTTTCGTTTAAATTTAATTGCAAGAAGCAGCCCGAGTAATTGATAAAGATCGCAAGCATCTGTTACATTCATACAAAGTATGATTTGCATTAGACACGGTTGGAGCGAATGTTGGATGAATTAATATTGCATGCAACGCGTTGCGTAAAGTGCGCGGAGCACTTAGTCTATGGTATGTAGTCACAGGCTGATTTCATTGACATTTTGTACAGACTGCGCATGGGCAGATTGGAATTGTGATAAACGTTATCTACGAGTACCGTGTTCATTAATGTGTTGACTGTTGTAGCTGTTCGAAATAGACCTAAGCATGTAAAGAAAAGTACATGTAGGTAAAGATAAACACCTGGCTGTAATATTTTCGCATTCCTTATACATACTTATGCAGCGAACCCCACGTTCTCATTAAAGATTGTTATTTGAAAACCTTAATGACCTATTTATTATTTCAGAAATAGGGTCTATACTTTTTCCAAAGACAGGACACTTCTTGGGAATTTGGTCTATCAACAGTCTACAGGCAAACGTCTCTTAGTGGTTTTGAGGTGAGTGCTCACTATCCCCATTACGCGCATTTTATAATCACTCAAAATCGTATCTAATGAGTAGGTAGGTACTTGATAAGGAAAATTATTTCGCTTTTTGGCGCTGACAGGCGTGCGTTTAACCTCACAACACATCTAAGTTGATTGGTTTCACGTTCACGAGTAAACCACTAGCAAAACATGCATGTTTTGTGGTTTCTTTTACAAAAAGCTATAATATCTTAACGACAGAACACTCACATGGCTGCAATTACCGAGGGTTAAAAGCCATCATCCGCCATAAAGTTGTCTGTCTTCACGGGCACAAAAAAGATAAAAAAGGGCGTGTTTTAGTGCTCAAGATAAGTTCCACAGATATAGAGTAAAGAAGTGAATCTTTAAAAATGCTTAAACGGTTCTAAAATCATCAATGTAAAAAATATGGGGAAATCTTTTCAGCAATTTTTAATAAAGTTCATGTTTTATTTTCAGACAAAACAATGAATCACGGCAGGCGCCATCTTATTTATCAAGCCAGTATAACCCTAAAAATCAAAGCACACATTCAGAAGCCCTACAGATCTGACCAAAAGATCAAGACCTCCAAAGTTGCTGAACAGTGTGATACTTTTGTCAATTCTACACTTGAAGCTGAATAAAGGGGGGAGTTCTCGCTACATTGGTTGTACAGTGGCTTCCGTGGAAGCATGAGTCACTCTGAAGCTGGTTCTACAGGGTAAGTAACATCTAATTGCAAGTATGACTCACGGACAAAAACTCTAAGAGTTATAACCTCGAGATCATGTACCGTAATATCGTGATTGATTTTTTTCATAGCGGTGACCGGACCGACACTTTTATTTTTAAAATCAATTGAACCTCGATTGTGAGTTCGCTTTTAAATTCTTCAAGCATCAGATCAAAGCCCAGGATTCGGGCAAACTAGAAGAGTATCTGTACGAATGAATTTTGGAATTTCAATACGTCTCATAATCTAGCATATTATGTATTTTGTAGTATGTATTTAGTATTTACTATTATTACGCATACTTTGGTTTTATCATTGTTCGATTAAAGTGACTAATATGTGTGGTTCTGGGTTCTGCAGATTAGAATAATAATTTACATTATTCCCTCTATTGTTAAAAACAGCCTATACTGTGTCATATGAGCAGCTTTATTTAAACGTAAAATTATGCTAACAAATGCACAGTGCAATTTATAATAGTTATGTAGTTAATTTTGTGAATTAATTAATAAGCTTCATGATTCAACATTAACTCACTTTACTTTGAATCTTATGCAACCTTGCTGACACATTTTAGGGCGCGATAGTTTCCAAGAAATAGTAGAGCAATATTATACCTGCCTACCGGAATTCCTTAGTGATATAATTTTTAAGGCAAACCCAAAAAACCTACACAAATCCAACATCATTCGTCATTTCGTATAGTTTTACGACCATAAAGTAATATCTGCGTAGGCTCCGTTCACCATAAACAACGATGACGTAGACTTTCGAGCAATAAATAAAGTAAGCATTCTGGCAAGGCACACTTTCACAACAAAAACAACTGACTAGTCAGCGACCACCAACGGTTTGTTGAACTTTCAACTCATCATTACTGTCCTAATACAACACGGGCAGTAAGTTACGTGTGCACAACGAATCTGATGCCACCCAGAGGCGTCATTGATGATTATAAAAATGTACAATCGACAGCATCTATCAAACTAAAGTTTTGAGCAAAATAACCCTAATTACAACTAAATAACACGCAAAGTAATCCTTACAGTTATGAAGGTTTTCTTAATCGAGTCATAATATACCTAAACAATATTAGGTCTAGCGCCTACTCTACTCTACAGATCTTCAAAAACGTTCAAGAATACCCGCACATTCTGCAATTCTGGGCATACCTTTATCTTTGTTACATTTTCGTTGTATAATATTGTAAATAATTACAACATCATCTGCATAAAAGTAAGTTCATTGTTTTAGGAAAAGATAAAACATAACTGTGCCAGTTACTGTTTATGTTTACTCTGTGGCTTTGTTTTCCTAAAACGCTTGACAAGTTGTGTGTTTTTTATGGGTTGTCATAAAAAGGAATAGACGATATCATAACCGCAAATGCAATATCCAGATTTTTGTTACATAGGCATAGATAAACTAAAAAGACATTAGCTAAGTAATTGATGTAATTTTTAAATGATAGACACATTAATTTATCAGACAAATTAGTGGCGAGGAGTAGATTATTTTTAAAATAGACATAACATTAACCAAATCTGGTATCTTTATTGATATTTGAACTTTTTCTAAAGTATGAAAATCAGTGGTGCGTCTATGGTCCGTAACGTGGATGACAGATTGATAGGTGACGTCATTGTTTTACGAGAGAAATTTGAAACGCGCTGACGTCACCTCCATCGGACTGACCCGGCAACTGACTCACACTGAGCCGAATTGTACGGGAGTAAAATTAAAAATATCCCTTATTTTCCTGTGTACCCTTGGCTGTTCCCTTGATGGTACAGTGGTAAATAAATTTTTAACCGCTGTACCCTTGGCCGTAAAACCCAACCAACTTAAATTGTACACGAGACCAAGAGGACTAGCTTTTCTTGAATTTGGCCAAAAGACAAAAACAAATGAACATCGATAAAAACAAATGAAGTAACATGGATGTAGATAAAAGTAAAACCTAATTATAATTAATTAAGTACATAGAATAAAGACAATATTACGCCATTTTCCTGTACCACTTCCGAAATGTCAAAATTTTAGTATTGTCGACCGTCATGTAATAAAATATTACCGCCATTCCTCTCAATAAAACAAGGTATATCTCATCGTCAATGCAATTAGCTTCCATGATAAAATTCACAACAAATTTGTCCTAATAAATAAATAATGTAATTATTTTCTACTTTTTAGTGCAGGTTTTAAATTCAAATTTTCAAATTCAATAATTTATTTGGTAGAATACATAATTACATGCCCGTTTTACAAGGCAGATCTTATAGTTAATATGATTCCCATGTATTCAGCCTGCAAGCAGACGTTTTTTGGAGTCGGTTTTAATTTTTTTGTTAAAATTAATTTATTTCATGCTTTTTAGTTGATTAGTCCTTGTTATTCTCACTGAATATGGAGAGTACCTCTGAATATGGACAGTATCTATGTTTAATGAGATTGAGACTATAGTTTTCCATTTTAAGTGTAAATAATCTTCCCTACAAATACAGGATAACTACCTAATTTAAATATGGGCAACTAAAAAGTATCATCTAACTCCTAACTTGCAAAGTTTAACCTTTTATCATCAGCTCACCTAAAAAACCTGAAGTAATACATATAGATGTACATACGTAGCTAAAATATTTAAAGAATTATTCTCCAACTCCTAAGCTTTAAGGAGTTTTACCTTCCATCATCACCTCATCAACATTAGATGATGACTACCAGAGCCCCGATTACGGTAACTTTTATAACGTCTACAATCCAGACGCGTTTCTGATTCTGCGATACGATTGGTCAAAACAGCTGACGTACGCTGTTGAACGACCAATCGTATCGCAGAATCGAGAAGCGTGTCTGGATTGTTGACGTTAAAAATTACCGTAATCGGGGCTCTGATGCATACTATACTTGAATATCTTTAGAATAAATATGAAAAACGATATACGTGCTTATAAAATTTGAGGGTTGCCCTCGATTTCCCTAAGATCCCATCATGAGATCCTGACTTGGTGACAATGTCCACCTCAGAAGTTTAGTGTACCCAATCGAACAAAAAAACGAATTTTGAAAATCGGTCCACAATTGACGGAGTAATCGGTGAACATAAATAGAAAAAAAATGTGTAACCTTTTTTGAAGTCGGTTAAAAATGGCGTAATATTGTCTTTATTCTATGTACTTAATTAATATAATTAGGTTTTACTTTTATCTACATCCATGTTACCTACTTCATTTGTTTTTATCGATGTTCATTTGTTTTTGTCTTTTGGCCAAATTCAAGAAAAGATAGTCCTCTTGGTCACGTGTACAATTTAAGTTGGTTGGGTTTTACGGCCAAGGGTACAGCGGTTAAAATTTATTTTCCACTGTACCATCAAGGGAACAGCCAAGGGTACACAGGAAAATAAGGGAAAAATATGGCCGATGCAATACATTGCAGATGTTTCTTAAATTATTTTCTTAAGACTGTAACTCAAACAAGTAATGTTTCTTTTCTGCGTACTGTTATGAGCCTCAGAGGATTTGGGTTTTTAAAAAAGAACACGAGATTAATGGGATAAGACAGCCGTCTAGTTCGGATGGTGGAATGAGACTGACTTGGAAATGCGAGGTATCGCNAAAAGAATGTTGATCGATCGTTACCTCGGTCGTTTGATTAATTTACCTACTTTGACAAACCCAAAAAACTTGCGCGTAGGCATTTTGAACCCCGTGCTTGAATGTACTCGGTCACTTAAAAACTTGGGTTTATGTGTCGAAGACTATGTACTTTTATTTATTGTTTTGTCAAAGTTACCTTCCGATATAAAAACTCGATATGAACAATTACACGGCGGCTTACGCAATACCTTGCCAGAATTTGATACTTTTATTTCATTTCTTCAAAATGAATGTCATTTTATCGATACCGCTAACTACTCGGACACGGTTGGAACAGCTGATATTAATATTACGAGGTTTCGTAGGACAAACTTTGACTCGGCGGGCTCACGTAAACAAACCGGCGGCGGGTGCCTATTCTGCACGAACTCGAATCATAAAATATTCGATTGTTATAAATTTTCAAACATGGCTTGTGACGAACNAATTTTTTACAAATAAAAGCAAATTCAGAACAATTTTTTGTTGTTATTCTTATTTCTAGGTATTAAAGCAATAAAAATAAGCTATGCATAACCCGTGCGCAAAAATGCTGTAGACAGTTGTAATGAAATTATGAGGACGAAACAGGTGTGTATTACCTGTCGTTTCTATTCAAGCTACACACCCGCCATATTACACAGTGCATGCGTGTAATTGTATTCCAAGTATTTCCCCGTGGAGGCAGACTGGAGTGGTTTTTATTCCACGTAGGCAAAGGCATAATTCTATAGTGCCTGCCATTTCCAGGAGAAGGTAATGGGTATACTTTTTTAATTGCAGTTGATAGTTTTTAAGTGCTATTGTTTTTTATAAATGTCATTATTATGGCAAAGGCATAACGTTATGCCTACACTATTTTGTCTAGATCCCGAAACTAAAAGTTGAAGAAAATTCAATAGAAGATGATTCAGTTGGTGGTACAAAAAGGTCATATGAAAGACATCATAAGGTTAAAAATTTTTATTATAAAAAAATGACGAAATTGTTTCAGTGACGGAGAGAGAACATTCGTTTCTATAATATTAATGTTTCTGTAGGTACGGACGACAGCACGTCAAGCTAAAACAATGGCGTCTTATCTCGTTGCAATACAGGCTATTTTGCAACAAATATGTATAGTGTAATGTACTGTCGACTGTACCTAATGGATATTGTTTAATTTTAGTTTATTCTTATACAGTCAGTGTCAAATTCGTGACACCCAATTTGGTTTATTCTTATACAGTCAGTAGGATCAAATTCGTAACACCTAAAGAGCCAAAAAGACAACACAACCTTATTCCAATTGTAACAAAGACGTGTTGAGAGCTTTTTGACTACTTTGATGTCACGAACTATTTGGCTCTGACTGTACCTGCGTACACCTCTCTCTACAGATGTGTTGTAGTGACAGAGCATGTTTATGGCGCCATAAGAATAAACCCATGGGAATTTACTTGCATTCTGTTTTGGCAGAAATAACCCCTCCGATGGAATTTCGTAGCTATTTCCATTTCAAACCATAAATTTTGGCGGGAAAATTTAGTTTTATGTAGCTTTAGCGCTTCACTCAGTCAGTCAGTGCCTGAGATATGGGAGCGGCACGGGAGGTGTAAACATTGACAAGGTGAACCGACGACCTCATAAAGGTAAAAGGAGGGCGCTGGATGCAGGCCGCTAGAAGTTGGTCATTATGAAAATCACTGGGGTAAATAGGCCTATGTTCAGCAGTGGACGGCCTACGGCTGAAATGATGATGATGATGATAATTACGCCCGTATTCACTAACGATACTTGCTTAAGTGAAGCTGCAAATCGAACGCACAGTGTTTAATAGAGCTCTGTGATTGGTTCGTGTGTCACACTGTGCGTCGTCTAAGTGCACTATGAGACCTCATAGTATTGTTTGTGAATATGGGTTTAAGTAGGGAATCTAAAAATCTAGCCTCAAAAATGGGAATATCAGCTAAAAATCTAATCTAAATATTATAACTCAAAGGTGACTGACTGACTGACATAGTGATCAATCAACGCCCAGCTCAAACCACTGGACGGATCGGGCTGAAATTTGGCATGCAGGTAGATGTTATTACGTAGACATCCGCTAAGAAAGGATTTTACGAAACTCCACCCCTAAGGTGGTAAAACGGGATCCACGTGTACGAAGTCGCGGGCGGCCGCTAGTCGTCGATAAAATTCATTTACACACTCAGCTGGGCGGGTATCGTGGTGAAATAAATAAATCTCGTAGACACTGCATAAATCTCTCCAAGTGGAATAGGACGTCGCTTGTCTAAGCAAAGCGCCTTTTATTTTAGCCAGCATGTGATTTTAATGGTTTATTTTTAGACAATATTGTATTTTTAGGACTTGTATTTTAATTATTAATATATAAAAATATTTTGTCCAACTTTTAACCTTGTAATCTATGAAACTATGGGTTTTCAGATCTCTTAATTAGGCATTTGACTGCCAATTCATGACTGAATTGAAAATCTATTATTTGAAGTTCCCACGAAGGATTTAAAAAATCCCCGAACTATTTTTTCCGTATTTCATCATTAATAGATATTACATTAAATGAATATAGGTACTACTTACTATGGTCGTCTACGTACCTACATTGACTACTACGTGTACCTACAATCCTAAGTAAGTCAATATTTACTACATTTCGTCATTGTCATCGTTAGGTGATTTAGTTTCCACTGCAAAATCAACCCTCTTTAAAAAGATTTGACCTACACTCTCTTTGATGCTGGCTAGACGAGGTGTGGGCGGGCTTATAATAGCTTTAATATTTGGCACAGAATAATATAAATAAGTACTCTTTTACCATCAAACCTGAACTGTCAAAAAAGGAAAAAAATATTAAATTACCTACGAACTCCTGAAGTAAAACCGAAACCAAAACCGATAAAACTTTTTACAACACTGATTTCTAAAGCCTGGGCGCTGAGGTGTAAAAGCTGTAGCCCTAATGATATGACCGAGTTAGGCTTAAAAATATAAAGGCGGATGCCTATAAGCCGGTATTTTACTCTCATAAAATACCTGCCTCGGTAAGATAATAGTATCGACCTTGGAGACCTCGGATCTTGCGTGTATTATAAAGAGGTTTTTGTATATTGGCAGTGATAGGTTTTGGCTGTGAACCTGATGTATTCAACTGGCTTCTTCAAAAAGGAGGAGAATATCAATTCCACTGTATGTTTTTGTTTCCGCAAAACCGAATCTTGCGTTTATTAAAAAGAGGTTTTTTGTATATTGCAGTGATAGATTTTACCTATGAAACTGCAGAAGCGGATAATCAATTACATTATAGGTATGCTGGGTTTTTTAATGTTTGCTTTTTATAGGAATTACTTACTGAAAATTTTGGCATGAGTTTTTTGACCATTAAACTTTGGTAAGCTGTCACCGACTCCGAAAAGATCAATCATGTTTTAATTGACTTAGTAAATAAATAAATACCTAACTTTATTTTTCTACTTTTTTGAAGTTTTTTTTTTGCTAAAATTATATTATGGATAGGATAATTTCAGTGAAAAAATAATTTTCAATACAGCTTGTTCTTATGTTTGTTTTTTACCGTATCCAATACTAATAAAGGTCAACTTTTATCACAAGCCCAAACATGATTGTGCAGCAGACCGTACCACTCAAGCTTCGAGTGGAAAACAAATATTTTTCTAGTCCTAAACCAATGGAACTAAACCAAAAACTACGACGTAAGCCTACGCTCAGACGAAGCATAAACAAGTTTAATACGACCCTCTCTATGCAGTATATCGCACAGATAGTACAATAGTGGCGTAACTTAAAATGTGAGATTTTTCAGGATCGATGAAAAATTTACAAATATTTTTGTTAACTCCTCTACCTAAGCTAGTAGTTAGAAGTAGGTTCACCACAATACTCTAGCTAATGACCCTCGAATTGTAGTCCAACTTTGACCACGTTGGATAAGATCACGTGATGTTGTCGCTAAAATTAAAATCTTTAACTTATTTAGTTTTCATCATTTGCAAAATCACTTCTATTAGAACGAAATAAGATACCTTGGTCTTTATTTGATGTGCTGTCGTCACTAGTTACAATATAAATATATCGTCAAGATCGTGACGTCACAGGCTAGCCATTATATCGCCATAACATGTTCCCGAGGGAATGTGTCTCAAAATATGCACATAACTCATGTGTATTTAATGTTATTCCGCCTGATGCTATCAGCTCCTTTAAAATAAGAAAGGAAAAAGTGTTTTTATATATTTTTTATTATATTTTTTTCTCAATTGTTATGATTATTAATTAAATTGTATTTAATAATAATTAATAAATAATTTCTTAAATAACTATTGGATATCGATGACGTCAGATTCGGCAACTCACTCCGTCGATTCATTCACTCATCCAAGTGCTATTACTCACTTTATGTCAGTCGCTATCCAACCTCTGCCGTGAACGGACGTCTCGAAGAAGAAGTTTGTGAAGTGTTTTAAAGTGATTAGTGGTGGAAATACTGCTCGAGCAAACCAAGGTTAGTTATTTTTATGTGTACATAAATATAAAATAAGTATTTTTATTAGGGCTAAATGAGCCCATCCGATGTGCAGGCGATAGAGCATCAGAGTATTATATTTTTGATGAAAATTGCAGTTATTAAATTACAACTTCCTATGGCGCTACATTGTTTATGTCTAAGTGCTTAAACATTGTTGTATTATTCTGAAAAATAATCTCGAGAGTGAACTAAAAAAAAACAAAAAGAATAATCGTAAACAGCTGTGCTTACGTATTTTACCTCCCATTTAAATATTTTATATCTGTACAATCCCCTGCCACTCCTGGCCATATTTTGACAATACATAGCAGGGTGATGTTACCTGTCTGCGTCCATTGCTCTACTCGTGTCCAAACAATAGATTTCTTGTGGATGACTTTTAAAACGATGCAATATACCTACTTAAGAGTTTAAATCCTACATTTGCTTCTAGTAAATTATCTGCAGTGGAGACTAAAATGAAGTGATGATGATACTTAAGAGTAGATATTACTTGTCATTCACCCAGGTACTTGTACAAATAGCTTCCGAATTTTTAGTGTGTTGGATTTTTTCACTATTTTAAACAGTGATCCTTCGCTTGCACGCGAGTAAAGAGGTGGTCGCAAGCTGGCGAAATTGCCCTAATAACTCCGCTGGGAATTTATTTAGTAACTTCGTCAAGTATCGCGAATACGCGAGCGTTGAAACAATGTAAATTTTTCCGAATATTTTACGAAGTCGGAAAACTTTCAGAGTTGGACTGTTAAGTTCATTTTCCGCTTCTTTTACTTTCATAAGTTTATAAATGAGGGTCCTACTTAATATCTTAAGCACTCACCAAGACCCATTTTATTTTATGAAATTTTTAGGGTTAAGTATTATTTTTTACTTCTGTGTGATTATTTCGAGGCGGTTTCAAATAAATGTGATATATTTAAATAGTGTGACCCATTTTATTTTATGAAATTTTTAGGGTTAAGTATTATTTTTTACTTCTGTGTGATTATTTTGAGGCGGTTTCAAATAAATGTGATATATTTAAATAGTGTGACCCATTTTATTTTATGAAATTTTTAGGGTAAATTATTATTTTTTACTTCTGTGTGATTATTTTGAGGCGGTTTCAAATAAATGTGATATATTTAAATAGTGTGCAGCGGATTTTTATTAAATACAGATTTTATCATCAAAATAGAAACATGCAAAAGACTGCACATGAAATTAGTGCTTTTGCATCTAAAGTAGAAGATATTTTGTAACCAAATGTATGTTTAGAAATGCCTTGCCACTGCCGTTAAATCGAGGGCCGCGGGCGTAAGTAAATAAAACCCAGTTTAAATGACCGTAAGCAAACGAAACCGCGGTTTGTAAACTGTAAAGCAATTTGGTGGAAAGTTAATGATTTGACAGGCTTCGGTGGACTGAGGATCTATTTGATTAGGACTGTCACACTGCAGGGGGACGTAGAAATACCTCTTTACCCTATGCAAGTGATTTGCACCAATATTCTAGCTTCTTCATTTAGGCTATTTATGTAGAAAATTTTAGTATAATGCCACTGACCGTTTCATAGAAAAGCGGTTTAAACAAAAAAGGTCAAGTATCGTATAAAAGTCAAGTACTTTACTGTTCAGGCACACATGCTTTCAATGAGCACGGTACGATTGCGCGGGACCTATTTAAATCTGCCGCCAACTCCGTCCCGCCAAAACTTACACGGCGAGCGCGCGCGACTACCAGCAGCGCCGCGCTCCACGACGGCAAACGAACGAAAACTATGCAACGCGCTCTCTCGCGTTTGGGCCGGCTCCGCGAGTGCCACGCTTATTGTGTGCTCCAACGGAAATGTGAAATTTGGTGACTTTTGGAAATGTTTTGTGTGTGAGGCCTCCACAGTACTTTGCTTGAAGTTAGTGACTCAAGTGAACCACCGAAGACACCGGGCGAAGCCCTAACTACCGGCCGGCGGCGTCCTACAGAGTACCTACCAGCAGCGCGGCGGCAGACAAGGTACCTGTTCGATTGTTTCTGTGTCCTTTACGGCGCAAGAACGTATTTTATTATTTTTATATCAAAAACAGGTCGTATGAGGTATATAGAAGATGGGAAAAATAGTTAAAAAAAACACACTTGAAAAAAAAGTATTTATTTTTGAAAAAAACATGGTGTTGCAGAAGTGCATCATGGTGTAAAATCGTACCAAAAAGTAGGGGGTAAGAGAGGTTTATGTGTCAATGTTTACTACGCAGTTTAATCTTATAATGTACCATTACGCGGTCCATCAGGTCCTCCCATGTGATGATAATATTCTGCTACTATAAAAGGCCCCTCTACAGTAATGTTTCTTTTGTGACTTGTCAACTCTACTTTACTACGGATGTGAGGTTCTTGCCAGCAATGCTGGATACCCGATTCACAATCTTATTAACTCTCCAAGCTACCAAGGATATACCAACGCCATCATAATTTGAAACCTGTTCAACTGATGTTCCTCTAGGTTATCCTTTTAGCTGCTTTCCTTCTGGGAGCTTACAGTTAAGAATGCGGTTTCACCTAACGTTTTCCAAGGCTAAAATCTCACGGCAGCTCTTGGATTTCATTAGCCAGGTCATAAGATCTTCTGAACCTTATCTGGTTTACACTAAGCTCTAAGTTTTCATTTTTCCATAGTGTATTTGCCTTTAGGAATAAGCGCGCTTCTTGATATGGTGGCAGAACTGGAACTAGGGGCAGGAACAGCTTACAATGTATCACATGGCTGAGCTGTGGTGCTGCTATCAGCCTCAAAGTACGGCGGCAAGATGTTCTTGTCCTCTGGCTCCAGTACTTCTGGTTCCTCATCAGAGTTCTCTGTTCATTAGGTTCCAATGTGTATGATGGATCAGCTACATCATCTTTCGGTTTCAAATAAAAATTCGGCGGTTTCGGTTTCAAATGAAAATTCGGCGGTTTCGGTTTCGGCAGGCGATAAGTCTGAAAATATCGGTTTACGGCAAATCTCGGCGGCGGTTAATTATTCGGTTAATACATCTGGTATTACACTTATTGAAGCGGTTGAACGGTTTTGGGCTTCGGAAGAGCCACCTTTGGTTAAAATTATGGATCCCTTGAATGTGGAATGTGAACAGCTGTTTGTTAACACGACAACTCGCGGTGCGGACGGCAAGTACACGGTGCGCTTGCCGCTTATACCTACTCACGATCGGTTGGGTGATTCTAGGCAGATGGCCTATCGGCGGTTTCAAGCTTTAGAGCGACGGTTTAAAATACAACCGGAATTTCGGGAAAAATATGTCAACTTTATAAATGAGTACATAGAACTCGGACATATGGAAAAGGCTAATTTTCATAGTTATTCGGATGAACATTATTTTTTGGCACACCACGGCGTTTTTAAATCTTCGGGAGACACTTCTAAAATACGTGTGGTATTTGACGGCAGCGGGAAGACTTCCAACGGGGTCGCTCTCAATGATTGTTTGTATGCGGGGGAGAAGTTACAAAATGACATAACTAAAATTATTTTGAATTTTAGATATCCCAACTTTGTTTTTACTACGGATATAAGGATGATGTTTAGACAAACGTGGATTCACCCGGATGATCGGAAATATCAATTAATACTCTGGAGAGAGCATAGTACGGATCCCGTAGGTGTTTATAGCCTCACCACGAATACTTACGGTCTTAAGTCAAGTCCATTTGTTGCCATTCGGTGTTTGCAGCAGTTAGCGGCTGATGAAGGTTCGGTTTATCCTAGAGCAGCTAAACTTTTGAAGCATAATAGTTTTGTCGATGACCTAAACGGAGGCGCAGACACTATTGAGGAGGCGATAGGCGTTCGTGACGAACTTATTGCATTAATGTCCACGGCAAATTACGAACTTCGCAAATGGTCTGCGAATGACCCACGGTTGTTACAGGACTTTGTTCAGGCACACATACTTTCAATGAGCACGGTACGATTGCGCGGGACCTATTTAAATCTGCCGCCAACTCCGTCCCGCCAAAACTTACACGGCGAGCGCGCGCGACTACAGTAGCGCCGCGCCGCGTCCACGACGGAAAACGAACGAAAGCTATGCAGCTCGCCCTCTCGCGTTTGGGCCGGCTCCGCGAGTGCCACGCTTATTGTGTGCTCCAACGGAAATGTGAAATTTGGTGACTTTTTGGAAATGTTTTGTGTGTGAGGCCTCCACAGTACTTTGCTTGAAGTTAGTGACTCAAGTGAACCACCGAAGACACCGGGCGAAGCCCTAACTACCGGCCGGCGGCGTCCTACAGAGTACCTACCAGCAGCGCGGCGGCAGACAAGGTACCTGTTCGATTGTTGCTGTGTTTTGTTGATTGTGTTGTGCCTGGACGACACTGGGAAACTCATATTCGCTATCGAAGTAGTTAACAATTTCTTTACAAAATTAATTTAGGTATAGTCCGTTATTTACCTAATGGGTACTCCTTAAGGGGATGCTGGCTCCGAAAGTTTGAGCGACACACGTTTCCTTAACAAAGCCTTGCTATTTGTCCATTCAGCTGTCTTGCGACTTCATCTAAATGTGGGTTTGAAATATTATTTAATTAATTTTAAATACTATTTTTACGGCGTACTCTCGCTGGTAATAGGGTGCTAGCTCGCAAAGTTTGAGCACCACACGTTTCTTTAACAAAGGCAACGGTACTAGTCCATTCAGCTGTCTTGAGACTTCATCCAAATGTGACGGTTTGAAATATTCACCTCGTTAGTGGAATGGAGCGAGTGCTCTCCGTATTGTGGCGACTTTAACGACGGCCCGTGCTGTACTTGTATTAGGTATTTTGGATTCAAGACGTACGAGATACTTGAAGAAAAGGCACATGTGAGGTGTATTGTGCTGATCGCTTGTTAAAAATGTCTATGATAGTGTGGTATAGTCAGACATAATGAACAAAAATGTATCTTGAAACGTGTTGAAGTCTATTATGTAACTTAAATGTTTCTGTTAATTCAAACTTTTAGCCAGAATATACTGTTCTTTAACCCTTAAGTAACACCGTGGGGTAATTTTTTACCCCAGACGCATAAAAATTGACATATCTTTTTTTCTAGCGTAGCTAGTGCATTGTCGTTTTCTGTATTCTCAATCCAGAGTGTGCGATTTAAGCTCGTAGATGCGGGATGTGAAAAAAATCATCCGTTTGGCTTGTACAGGTAGGTGGGGCAGAAATTTACCCCAGGGTGTTAGTTACGCACACTTTAATTTATCATCACCTAACATGTTATTAATAGGTTTTTACAACATTGAAACAAAATGAGTAAATATTTATATGACGATTAAGTAGCACATTGTCTCTAGTATGCAGAGAGATAATTAGAGCATGATTTACATGATACTTTTCGAACTTTGAAGACATCCCCTCAGAACAGAGCTTTCATAAATTCGACACAGAAATAGGGTTCAAAAGTGATAATTACGTAGTAATTCGGCGTGTCTGATGTGTTTTGAAAAAAATAATTACGAATAAAATAAATAAAAAGTATTTTTAAATATTTTTTCATAATTTTATAAAAAAATAAGCTTTTTTATTTTGCTTTATTATAAAGCCAGAAATTTTCGTTTTATTTCATTTGTGTTTAAAATATGCATAAAACATCTATTTAATGTCCGATTAGTGTAAGTTTTTCGTTCCCACAATAACATTCCAAGATTTTTCTAGAAGACCATTGTGGAGACTATTAGTTGCCAATGACAAATTATTTGTTTTTTGTTATGATTGATTTAAGGTGTTTCTTTACGCTAGATAGACGTTCTTTTAAAGCAATCATATAATTCAGTGAGTTCAATAATACATTGTAAATCACAAAATTAAATTGATTTTAAATATTTACTTAAAAATTTTCAATTTCCGTTTGGGGTAATTTTTTGCCCCAGGGTGTTCAAAGTGTAACCAAAAATAAGGATGTTACTTAAGGGTTAATGAAAAAAATTATAAGTTGCTCTAAATTAGTCTAAATAAATAAAACTATTCAACAATTTTCACCAAATACCCTAAGTCGTAATTTGCTGTGCTAATACGAGTATGTGCTATAAATTTTGTATTTTATGCAGCTTCAAACTAAAATAACATTTAAAGCAAAACATTTACGAGTATTTCAGTATTTTACCGTGTCACTACTAGTAGCACCTCGGCTACAAGATAAAACATTGGAAAATGTTTGCGTTTTCCTTGCTGCACTTTTAAACATTATCATTTTAGCTTTAAAATGATTTGAAGATATCCAGGGCAAGGATTCCTTTGCAGTATATACGAGTAAAAAAATGGATGTTCAGCAGTGGACGTCCTGTGGCTGAAATGATGATGATGATGATGATGATGATATACGAGTAAATCTGCAAAGTTTCGTTTTAGCGCTAGACTGCTAATGTTAATCACTGTATTCACTGCAACTACTCAAAGACTATGCTATGATACGTGAAAACTGAAAATTTATTCAAAAATTTACGATGTGAAGAATTAAGTTATTTGTCTATTTATTGATTTTTACGGTAATAAACTATTGGAATTGAACCAATTTTGATCACTTCTGATGTAGAGATAAATTGGACCTTAGAAAAAGAAGAAAGTTGCAAGAAAAAAACTGTGTAGAGATAGAGAATGATAATTTGTGGAGGAAATAATTACATTCTTATGTGTAGTTAGTTCCAATGTAAGTACGGGTATAGAATGAGCAATTTACGGTTACTCTTGGTACAAAAATATCTCTCCTGAAATTTTAAGTGTGACCGAATCAAAATTTTAGGCCGTGCTCTAAGTAGGGCCATGGATGAATTTGAATAAGCTTTCAGCAGCGTTGACTTTGGAATTGCGTAAATATTAATGGCTACAAGACTGATGGATATGGATTAACCGAATCTTCTTTGAGCACGAACTTGAATGTGTCTCGCGACAAATTGTTTTCTTGCTCATGAATATTAATTGTTTACATTATCAGCGAAATATTCAGTGTTTTGTTTACGCCAGTTCTTCCATTCGATTTATTATTATTGACAGCAGTTAGTGGCATGACCTTAATAACTTCCAAATGGGTTTTCGATCAACTCAGCATTAGGCCGGAGTTCGTCCCTTCAAAACTTTATAATTTCTCAATAAGCAAGTTTGTTGTGCCGGTATTCGTAATTGAACAGGCATAAAATACTGTTTTGGCTTTCGCTAAGGCTGTCGATACACTGTGAGAACCCATTTGCCCTACGGTAGATGTTCAAACGTTGATCTGCAAAATAATTCATGATTATTTTCTAAGTTGAAATTGGGAGGGATTATTTTAAACAGGTTTATTATATTTTGCCTATTAGCTTTTGGACAAAAACTTTTAATTGGTTACAAAACTGTACCTAGTTCTAATTCTTAGAAAATGTTTTATAATGTTTACAATCTAAAATGAAAATATATTTTGGCAGACGCCGAGTTTTAATTAAGTTAAATAATTTATACAATGTCTTGTTTATTCATGGACGAAAAAATTCGTAAAACCACTCGTATTCTTAGAAACACTATCGTTGTGTCCAACATGATTGTGCTCATTACTTTATCGCAATAATTAACTTTAATTTCTTTTGTTCCAGGTTTAAACGCAGTGAAAATAGTGAAGTTGGTAGTGCCAGAGATAATCCAGTATGGTGTCCAGGACTCCGTGATATTAGACTGTGATTACACGTACGGTAACAACACATCAGGGTTAATGGTGAAATGGTTCTTCAAAAACAAAGCGCGACCTGTGTATCAGTGGATAGTGCCGAAAAAACCCCAGGATATGGGTATCCTGAGGGGTCGTGTGGACTTGAACTATAGGGCATCTAGTGACCCCCTGAAGATGTACAGGGCGTTAAGGATTGTGAAGCCAGATACAGAAATATCTGGGGACTATACCTGTGTGGTGTCCACGTTTATGGATGAGGACTCCAAAACGAAACAGATGACTGTTTTTGGTAAGTAGTTTTTGTATTATGTTAGTCCTTGAGTAAGGCAGCAGGAAGGCAGGAGGTCTGTGTTAAGTAGTGGACATCCTGTGGCTGAAATGGTGATGATGATGCGTCTATGAGTAGATACCGCGATTTTATAAGTTTTTTAGTAGGGTCCGTAAGCATTGTAGGACGCCCTCTTGCCAATGGAGTGACGACTTGCAAAAGGCCACTATCAGAAGCTGGATACGACAAGCAGTTCAAATTGGCGCATATTAGGGGAGGCCTCTATCCTGCGGTGGTCTGCTTGCTATATAGCCCGATGTAATGATGATGATTTGTTGCATTGTTTTTAAATAAATACTAATTACCTAAGTTCAAGTTCAAACCAATCAAAGTATAAGCTCTACTCATACTATAAATAGTGACCATACTATAAATAGTGACTAGTATGAAATGGTGTGACAAAGTGGTAGCATTCACATAATTCACAACCTAACAGTCTTTTGCTAGAATTTATGTCACTCCGCAAAAAGGATGTGTAAAAATATTTCGCCAAACCTAATTCTCCATCATCATCATCATCATCATCAAAGCCATAGTACGTCCACTGCTGAACACAGGTCTCCCCCAATGCTTTCCATGTTGCCCGGTTGGTAGCGGCCGACCTAATTCTCACTGGTGTGTGACGGCTCTACTGAAAATAAAGTTTAGTAGGCAATCAAAGTTGTTCTCGTTTTTTGCAAAACTATGACTGCACTTTTTGCATAAAGTAATTGTGTACTATGACCTATTAACGAAATTCACGTGTTTTTAATTATATTCTATCTGATTTAGTTACTCCATAAAAGCTATCAACAAATTCAGTCAATTCTCGTGCATTATGAGCTTTCAAAGTAACTTTTTTTTTATGAAAAAGTTTAAAATTTAATAGCCACGACGAAACTTTTAATACGTTTTTTATTAGATATGAGGTTATATTTTGTTAAAAACACTTTCTTCATGTCAAACCATCTAAAAAGAGTCATCATCATCATCAGCCACAGGACGTCCACTGCTGAACATAGGGCCACCCCCAATGATTTCCACAGTGGCCGGTTTATTTATTGCACATACAAAAAGAGTAACTTTATTAATTTGTTCAAAAGTTACTTCAAACGCACTATCGCTATAGACAAGAACTCTGCTCAATATTCAGTGCGGGTAGTCGGAATAAAAATTCAGCTGCACACAGCACTCTCCTTGAATTTATTCCCACCAAATAAGGGCTACGGCAATCCAGTTTTGCAGGATGTAGTTGCAGGACCCCGCAAAACTTAACTGTGTCGTGTAAACACATTAAGGCTGAGTTGCACCACCTAACTTTGACCGTCACTATGACGATAACCGGTGTTTTTTGTATGGAGTTTGACAGATTTTTGACGTTTGTCAAAGTTAAAGTATGGTGCAACCCAGCCTAAGTGTGTTTGAAATTCGAATTCCAAATTCGAAAGGATCAGTTTTCTGCGGGATACTGTGTACCTACCATGAGTTTACGTTAGATGTGCTCGCTAGCGAGTACGTCAAAAAGCTCTATGAAGATTTTGTTTCTTGAAAGTAGCCGCTAGGGGCGCTGCACAATATGTCATACAATTAATGTCATTTTTTTACGCAGTCGCTAGCGAGCACACCTAACGTAAACTCATGGTAAGCAGACTGCTATAGTTCCAAAATACTGAACTGTCCTATGCATGACATTGACTATGCGCCACCGTCAATACCGGATCGCTGGTTCCGATTTTTGCCATGTTGAAAACCATATAGTTGAACGATGGTAGCGCCCCCCTTTCATTTAGTTTGGTGGGACAGTTCAGCGTGGGTCATCTATAACGGGGTGTTCGTGTCAACGTTATAAATGCCCGTATTCACAAACATTGCTATGAGGTCTCACAGTGCGCGTGGACGCACATGGTGACACACGAACCAATCAAAGCTCTATTCAACGCTGTGCGTTCGATTTGCTGCGTCACTTATACAAGCATCGTTTGTGAATACGGGTGTAAAACACGTGCAAAAAACAGTTCCTGCAATAAACGGGATGTTTCCGTGAAAAGATCCATAACCCTGGTTAGATTTTTGAGACAGTTCACAGGTGTGAATTTTGGAGCGAGGTTCATTAATTTTGCATTGTTTTGTTAAGGAAGTTCGGAACTAGGGTGATCAATCATAGATAATTGCGGCCTACCTATTTATAAAAATAAGGCTAGTCTTTAATATTTTACCCGAATAATAAATCTTAATTTCCATTGAATTGAAAGGAAGAGGATCAGCGCTTATGCTTAGTTTTCTTAGTAGTAAAGTTTATTGAATTCGATTAAAATTTTCAATACTTTTTTAATTATTAAAGCATTATGATTCAGTGTATCAGTAGTGATACTCATAATCATCATACTTTAACTTTGACAAACGTCAAAAATCTGTCAATATCCATAAAAAAGCACCGGTTACCGTTATACTTTCCGTTAAAATTAGGTGGGCAACTCAGCCTTAATCTAGTTCACTCGATTTATACTTCAATATTAGTGACAAAGACGAATATAATCCAACAATTATTTTAGAGAAAATCCTATAACCATACCAATGCATGTGCCATAGCGAGTCGACCAAACAACACTTTTATTAGTGTCTCTATCTCTTTCGCTTTACATAGTATTTTGGTATGAAAAATAGAGACGCAAAGAGCCAAAACCTCGAATACCGTACAGCAGTAACCCCGCTTTTCCAGCAGTCGAATTTCATATTTGCCAAACGGTTACTCATAAAACGTTTAACTCTTGCGACAAGGTCTGCGACTGCTAGTGGTGGTACAAGTCATAAACTGGAATATCGTAAATGTTCCTAGTTAAAAGTTTGAGGGTAGAGGTAATATTAGGATGGGAAGGAATAAAGGAATGGGACGGAATTTAATGCAAGTAGGGACGTTACGACTTTGACGTCTTCAATAAAGTCTGTCAGAAAGTGCATATTTTGTTCTTCTTGTCTCCCCAATTATTATATGTTTATGAATTTAAGCATAGAGAGAGATTGTGTGTGTGAACTCTGGTGGCAATACAAATATATGAAAACTAATAGCTCTTACAGCAATAGGTGTTGTTGTGGTGTGTTACAAATGATCCAAAAAATCTCATAACACGCCTTGTTTTTTGCTAGTAATACACTTTGGGTTAGTGTGATTACTATCCATTGGCATAGTCAATAGACCCCATGTAAGTTATCCAACTCGATAAGTACTCGTAGCTTGACTCAATGATGATTTAATTCAAAACATTCAGTTGTTTTATCTAATAGAGTGGGTGACCTTTTTTGGCAACTTAGTTAAATTTTTGTGAAAGTATGTCTTTGTTTCCTGAATTTGTGGTTGCCAAAATAAAGTTATTTTCTATCTTCTTCTTTCTAATTACCATTCACACACAACTAATTACCATTTCACACACACTAGACACAAGCGACTAGACACCAGCCTAAGTATGATGTCCCGAAATGGTGATAGGGCAGTACTAAACAAATAATATGTTGATTTGATTTAACACGAGTCGTCTAAGGTCTGTTGAATTAAATTGAATAAGATTGTCGAATCTTTAGAAATCTTAAATGTATGAATTCGAACAATATGGAGTCTGATTTTAGGTAAACATTGTACACAAACATAATATCAATATCAACCCTGCAAGGCGTAAGTGCGTCATTTCAGCAATATGTTTTATTCATTTTTTTTATTGGACACGCGTGACTTACGCGTATGCCATTGTTTTTTGTTTGCTAAGCGAGTTTCACACATCCCAACATCTGCTATCCGGCGCGACTTTTTATTCCGGGCTTGAGGGGCTTCGGGGACAAAGGAAGAACGTAAGATGACTGGCAATCTATGTTATTGGTGGTAAAGGGTGTGATAACGTTGATTATTTAATAAAATTGTAGTAAAACATCGCTGGGTCTGGATTAAATTTACCAAGTATATCTTTTTATAACTATCATAACTAATATTAGTACGTTATATTCCACATTTTTCCACATTATTACACCGGCCATTTCTCAAAATAAACGTTATTTCTATAGTCCGTACCTATCTATGTAGGATTATAAATTTTCACTTAGTATGCTTTAAAGAATTTGGGTTTTAATTGAATTTAATTCAATATAACTTCCTGATATTGGCATAATCGACTGCTTGGCTTTCTACCCGCTTCATCGAGATAGTATCTATAAAACATAGTTATAATACTAAGGCTGGGTTGCACCATCTTAAATTGACTTTAACAAACGTCAAAAATCTGTTAAACTCGTTATAGTTCGGTCATAGTAAGTTGGTGCAACTCAGCATTAGGGATATGAGGTCAGTTGTAACAAACCACACAAGAAAAGAAAAAGAATGACCCAATCCTACACAGCGCAAGTGGGCCATGCAGATTTGCATTGTATAGTTGGATGCGCTCATCCTCTCAAATATTCCAACTCCCATTGGCGCTGTATCTTGGAAAATCGTCCTTAATGCAAAGTTGAAACTGAACCCAACTCGCACAGAGTGATTTATGTACGAGACTAGATTAAAACCCATGAAACTCATTTTATTTCTGTAACTAAGTTTTAAAAAGCACTTTTACACGTCCCAGTATTAATCCTATCACTGTTGCTGCTGCTGCACAATAAATAGATCAGTGCTGTGAAGAAGCAACGCAAGAATTTCAGTCAGTTTTGTCAGCCTCTTTTTCAAGGGTTTACAGTCTTTAAAATATGCATTGTTCAAAGCTTTTAAGAACACATTTTAGATCTACGTTTCATAGAAACTTATATAAAAAAAACTTCACATACGAATATTAACATACTTTAAAAATTTCTAGTGTTATTCTCCCTAAGTTAAACTCAGAATCAACAACCTTGATGTCTGTGAATGCTTATTTAAAAACATAGCAAACTGTACCGTCTCTACCACCCAGCCAAATTAACCTACATTCAATTTTGAACTGTACCACGATCGCAGACGATTCTATTTTGACTTCACAGTGTATGTGTACATCACAGGACAACGGCTACCCACGTCAGTGTCAAGTTACGGGCAGGACAGCGACTTCCTTCTGATACTTCGGTCGTTAAAAACTTTTGCATTAGCTCTTATTATATTTAACTTACGTTTTAACTTTAACCTTGTAAAGAGGTACAGTTTGTGAGTTTGTTTAGTGAACCGATTTTGACAATTCTTTCTAGATTATTCCTGAGTGACAAAGGTTTATTTACTCTCTTTTTGAGAGAGACGAAAATTCACATAGGCAAAGCTGCAGGTAAAAGTTATCTTACACATTCTGTAGGAAACGAGAATTGGGACACCGTTTTTAAAAGTAATTAAATAAATTCAAAGATTGGTTGGCAGATACTGTTCAAGGGCTTCTAAGTATCGCACACTATTGAACCTACTTAAAATGGGTTTTTTTTTATGTTCAAAGTGAAATTAGGTTCAAATCTATAATATCTCGTTCCCACCGTTGCAACTCCAGTGTCTACAGCTTGACCGCCAATAAAAACCCAACCAGTGAAAGTCAAGTTTGTCCCGGGGGAAAGTTAAACTGTCATTAGACCCGCAACGAAATTAGTCAGAAGAACATAGGAGGAGTACGAAATTAAGGTCTCTATACCGCCAAGCTCTATGCCTAACATTTCAATATTAAATCTCACACCCACAAACTACTACACAAACTGTTGGATTGAAATTGCTTTAAATATATTCCCCACGACCACACAATTTGAATACATTACGCGTTACGTCACTCCATTTTCCGCTCCAACGGCTAGATTTGTCGATAGTTGCGACTGAGCGATGGGCTAAGTCGTTAATGTAAAAGCTGCCTATCCTAGATTAAGCGGTCCGCTTTGGAACTACTATATCGTGGGTTTACTATGAAAAGTTCTTATACTAAGTCAGAAACTTACGAATTTAGAATAAGGACAAAATCTAAGGATTTCGTTAAGTAGCTTGCTATGTCATAACCATTTAACCATACAATTTGTCACAAGCTCATTTCAATAAAATAATTTAGAAATTAGTTTAGGTACTCGTATTTTAGTAAAGCCGAGTTGCAGTTTAGAAGGTGGTGCGGTGCAACCTAACTTTAACCGTAACTATAACGATAACCACTGCTTTTTGTATGGAGTTTGACAGATTTTTGACGTTTGTTAAAGCTAAAGTAAGACAGTGCAACCCTGCCTAAAAGTACCTACATTTCAAATTGATATCATTTGGCGGGCTTTCATGACAAAACTACCACAAATTCAGTCAAACCTCTTGAATGCTCCCGTTTTCTGTGACTCGTTGTCACCGTCTGACAGTTGTTAGCATAACAGCATTAATGCCAGTAGGTTCACACAGACAAAATTAATTTATTGATTACCTTAATCCTTACTATGTGCCCCTTTTATAAGCGTATTTTCATACTGTACTATAAAATATGTAATTAATTTTGACTTCCCTGTCTCTATTACAAAGCAACGCCAAAAGCTCGATTTAGTTGAAGCATACATTGAAACTTCAATATTAATGTTACAGTCAAAACTCATAACTACTATTGACTGATTTTTGCAGTCAAACGTGGTTTTGACCGATTATGAGTTATGCCTGTAAAATTAACACCAATAAAAATACTCACATCATTGTGTCCTTCCACACCTAGATAGCGTTGTTTCTCAGTGTACTTCCGTTATAACATCTCGCTATCATGTTCCAGTGCCAGAACAGAACTTCCGGCTGATACAGAACAAGACTGACGACGACACCGTCAGCGTCATAATAATATAAGTTAATTTTAGAGCTAAAATGAAATGTGGACGTTTCTCGAACGATTACTCAAAATCAAAATCAAAAATATTTATTCAGTTTAGACCACAAGTGGCACTTATGATATGATATACTTACGAGTATAATAGTTAATGACCACCCAATTAATTGCAAAAATGACTTTTATGACCTCAGATCGCCTTTTCAATAGGCTAGTTGCCTAAAAAAATTTTTTTAGTCCGTAATGTTTAATATCAAAAAATATTGGACACATATATTTTTATTTGTCAATCTAACAAATAATTACATAGTTATGGTGCGTTGAAGTTGCGCACGACGTCACAACGTGCGGCATTTTTAAGCAAGCGTTGACGTCACGNGTTGAAGTTGCGCACGACGTCACAACGTGCGGCATTTTTAAGCAAGCGTTGACGTCACGGGCCTCTTCTTATGAACTTTGGGGCGCTTTATCTCTTTAAATTTTCATTAGTTTGAAAAAGTGAAAAATACGTGTAGAGTATTTTTTGATAAGTTAACTGACGGACTAATTAAAACTCTTGCTTTTTGACCCAGGCAACATCCCCATTAGCGGTGTTTCTCAGTGTACTTCCGTTGTAACATTTCGCTATCATGTTCCAGTGCCAGAACAGAACTTCCGGCTGATACAGAACAAGACGGACGACGACACCGTCAACGTCATCTGCGCGGCGGACGGCGCGTTTCCGGCGCCCAACCTCACGCTCGCCACGCCGGAGAGGTGAGTTTATACAGGGTGTCTTAGAATTGATGAATAATAATAATAATAAATACACTTTATTGCACACCCGCGACCTTTACCAGATCGTCGGTCCACCTAGTAGGAGGCCTGCCCACGCTACGTCTTCACGCCCGTGGTCGCCACTCAAGAATGCCTGGATGCGGGCAGCGCAGGACCGTGCATTGTGGAAAACCTTGGAGGAGGCCTTTGTCCAGCAGTGGAAGTCATTTGGCTGAAACGAACGAACGAACGATTGCACAAGGTACAATTAGGCGGTCTTATCGCTATGAAGCGATCTCTTCCAGACAACCTATGGTGAGGACAGTTACTTGAAACAAATATGAATCTATTTTTTGATCGGACACGGCAGGTGTTTCACACCTGATGTTAATTTCTAATCATCTCATGTTAATTTCCATGTAAAACCATTTCTTTGGTTACGACAATTATTTTATCATAGTACTATTATAAAGAGGAAAGATTTGTATTTTGTATGTAACAGTTAAACTCAAAAACGCTATGCAAGAATGCTACATACAATTACTGAGAAACATAGGCTATAACAAACCAAAATTCATGCAACACAAAAGGAGAAGGTCATGGGCAAAATCTAGTTAAATAGGTACAAATGTGAAAGTATGTCATTATAGATGGATGTCTGTAACTCTTTCACGCGTAAACTACTGAACAGATTTTTATAAAACTTAAATTGTTATTTTTTATAAACGATATTATGGTAACAAACTGATTTTCACGCGTGCTAAGCCGCGCACAAAACGTAGTTTAAAATAAAACAAGCGCGTTGAGTCAATTACCAATTGTCTCTCACAGCAATTTGATTCACCGCTTCCCCTAAATCGGGTTTTCATACACCCTGTATGTTATCTACAGTCTTGATGCGAATCCGTACAAGGATCTGCAAATGCCGCAATCTCACGGGTGATTGCACAACGATGTGTAAAATCCGCTTCCCTTTAATGGTGTGAGTCTGGTGTTTTTTTTTTTTATTTAAGGCATGAAAAACACGTCTTTTGTTTGAGATAGATGTCAATAACAAGGATACATAAGTGAAATCTAAGTAAGGTAAAGGCTGAAACTTTGTCTTTGTGGTGAACCCACCACTAATCTAACACAAGTATTTCCAAATTAAGCAAAGCTTTTTATACAAAGACGTAAAAACTAACTTATATAATAAATCTAAGAATCATATGCACAATGACAGGTATAGCAAAGCTATAATTAGTTATCTTGAAAAAAATCCAAGTTTTCATACCTATTTTACTTAAAAAATTTGATGTAGGTACTAATTATAAGACTTTCACGAAAATTAAACGTGGTAAAATACACTGGACTGCAAAGACTGGACTGATCGGTTAGAAAATGGTCAATATATCTTCAGAAGTACGATTCAGTGTTTATAAATTCAAATACCAACTGAAAGTACTAATTCCACACGTACACAAATCCGTTCTGCAAGTTCACGCTTAATAACAAAAAAATTGGATTATTAAATTCTTCGCCACTTGTTATTGACTCTATCTATATCGAAATGTTCGTTAAACTTAATTGAAATACCAACACGATATCCTCAAAACTCGTGCCACAATTTATATCTTTCGCCCAATAAATCCTGTGGATACCCAATATCCTGCGTACTTCCAGAATATTACTAGTTCGAACCAAACATTGAAGTTTCTCTTTCCTGTGATTTCCTTCTAATTTCCACCAAATCGCTTAACAGGGGCACCTGGCCAGTATAACTTGAGCCCCCCCTCATCTAATGCTCTCGAGACTTGGCCCGGGTGAGAGTCGAGAGGTGTAAGTCCAGATGTCAGGGTAATCTGGTCAGGTTCTGATGTATGAAGCGCATATAACAACCGCATTGCGGGAAGCCATCCTGATAAGCACGAAAGCTTAGGGGTGCCGCAATTATCAAAATTTGTTTGTCTGTTTAGAAGCCCAAAATATTTTTTTCAATATGTGAATGTCGTAAGTAATAATAAAAACTTTTTAAGACACCTAATAAATTAAAGAAAAATGAATAGCACTGCGTCTTAATCTGGGGCCCAGTTGTATTAGGTGCCATATTATTGATTGTAGAGTCGACAGCACATAAGACTACCCATACATTTTTCTCTGAAAAATCGCCCTTCTCATGATTTTATAAGGTGCCACATTTTTTACCTTAAAGTGCTGTCGTCTGTACATTTTCTTTTTAGTACCAAAAAAACACACACCATACCTACTTTTCACCATCACTTTTAATTTTCGATCAACTAACTCTTATACTTGCGTATTGCAAAAACTTACATTAGCTTATCACTAAAAAGGCACAATCACCACAAAAAAACCTCTATCAACCCTAAAAGCAATGCAACTGGATATGAAATATAGCTAAGAAACTTGTCCAGTGTGAAATAACGTCACAAATTCGTAGTCCCCTAGCGCCGCCGGTTGCGCGATCACAGGCGAATTACGACCCAACGGCACAAATGGTTTTGTTATTTGTGACGAGAAGATTTTCGTCACAAATTTCATAGATACGAGGATAGTGTTTCGTGAGTGCTTCGTGCGAGATGGCCCTAAAAAAGATGGGCAAGTTACTTGGTGGAGGGAAGTTTAGGGTCGGACGCAGAGCGTGCATTGAGGGAATCCAGCAGTAGACGGACAGAATTTATGCTACTGGGATTTTTATTTAATTTAAGATGCTTAAAAATTTACAATTCGATGTAATATACTTTGTATATTCTGATAATGATATCGACTGTACAGCAAACTAAAAGCAGACAAGGTAGCAAGTAGATATCGACGATCGTTTAGTTTCTAAGAGCTTAATTCACCGAGACACAATACCAACCACTGTACCAGCAACAATTATGACAATGCTATGCATTATGTTGATAATACAATAAAATAAAACACACATAATACTGTACTGTACACAGTACCTATTTGTGGCGATAACTGGTTGGACCACAATGATAATACAATAAAACAAAACACACATAATACTGTACTGTACTGTACTGTACACAGTATTTGTGGCGATAACTGGTTAGACCACAATACCCGGTAAAATAAATCCCTAAACCAATTTACATCTTACATTTGATAAAACTAATTAACATTATGATTCGGTGCTTTAGCAAATTTTTGTTTACAAATTAGAAAAAAGTATTGCTCATATTCTTAAACTAAGTAAGACTAAAGTACATTTTTACTTGTACAAGAATAAACACGCGAAATTACAGCATAAACTTAAGACAGCTAACGAAGCACTTCCTAGTTTACTTTCGCAACTAATTTCGCTGCTGGCATTATCAGCACGTACAGTCAACTGCTCATTGGATTAAAAGTATACATTTTTGTTGGAAAATAACACCTATTACCATTAAATAAGGGTTGTTCAAACGGAGACATCCTGTTTTTTGGAGGAACTGTTTTTTGCAGGATCACGCTTAACAGTTACGTGTTTTAATATTAACCTTCACATGAACATCCCGTTTGCAGTGTCCCGCAATAAACCGATCAGTTTGTTTTTAATTCGAATTTTAAGCACACATTATGACTGAGTTGCACCATCTTACTTTAACTTTAACAAACATCAAAAGTCTTTCAAACTAGATATAAAAAACATCGGTTAACGTTATAGACGGTCAAAGTTAGGTGGTGCAACTCAGCTTGTGTGTGTTCAAACGACACGACAGTCTAGTTTTACGGGATCCTGCAAAACTGGATTGCTGTGGGAACAAGCTAACACCCGTATTCACAAACATTACCATGAGGTCTCACAGTGCGCGTGGACGCACAGTGTGACACACGAACCAATTACTATCCGTTCGCTTTAAGATTGCCGCTGGCGATATGAAGTCACTCGAAATGAGGCGTCTATAACTTTAACAAACTATGTTTAAAATATTTTTATTTATTATTATTGATAAAAAATGTGTATTTGGGTAAAATAGGACACATTAACTACGTTTAATCGCGGTTGGGAGAGGGGACGCGCATTCCACGGACCAGCAAACTTAGCGCGAACGGGTAGTACAGAGCTCTAATCTACGCTGTGCGATCGATATGCTACTTCACTTAAGAAAGCATCGTTTGTGAATACGGGCGTTAGATATTCGTATATTATAAGCACGTACAAAACTGTTCAAAATAAATATGCAAATCCAAACAATTGGCGATGCATTCCGAACGGAGTTGGCATCTCTCCTAAAGTAGCGCCACCGCACCTGGTACTCCCTCGTGCCAAGTTCCATTGCCACCATATTGTTTTTTCATATTTATGAACAGAAGGCTTGTTTTTATAGCATTGGAGTAAACTAGCTTCTTTTCGCGGCTTTGTTCGCGTGGATTTAAGTCTGTCAGTGACGTTTATCGCTAAATCCATGACCAAAACGGAATCGCAAAATGTAAATACTTACCTAATATTATTGAATCCCTACCTGGGCCTTTATTGTCTAAATGCTAGAATTTTAAGAAATAATGTGAATGCGCTAATTTGGTAAAGCAATAAAATTGATTCCACTTTAACCTACTGATTTAATTTCCTGAACACTATAATCCGGGCGTTTTCAAGGCGAGAGTGAATAGGCACTTACAAGGCAGATATTTACCTTCTTAGACTGCATCTCTAACTCTTTGGACTTTTCAAATTCAAGTCTTTTTGAATCCAAAAGATTAAGATTTAAAGTCATCAACTTAAATTATTTTATAATGAGTGTAAAAACTTAACACACAAACCGACATAAAAATAATCATTCGCGATTTAGACACTTTTCATTTTTTAATTTCGTACTATGAAAATGTCTTGGAAATATACAAAAGTCTGGAATAACTACGGAAAAACTCATTGCTTTATTCGGACCTTAAACACGTCCTTTTCTCCGTAAGATTATAAGAAACCGTAAGATTTCCCTGGAGATGTAACCGGACTTCATTGTTCAGAGTAAATGTGTAGTTAGCGAGTAAAATCGAGAAAAACAAGCACGATGTTTAGATAAACTGTACAAACAAACTTATTCTAGCATTTATTTTATGCTGATTTTGCGACTAAGTTTTCGTACAAAATATTAAGTAAATAAGCCGGAATTTAGCCTGTGTATGCTTGTTTTAGTTTGTTTAGTCCCGTTCAAAGACAAAAGTTAGTAAAGCTAGGTATGGATTTTGTTTGGGCTAAAGTCACCTAGCTTATTACTTATTTTGATATAATTTACATAAGACTTATCAATATTTATTCATACAGCGATCCAAAACGATACGATACGAACTTCAATAATATTCTTCTTCTGTAATCCACAAAAATCAAAAGAAAACATACACAATCTATTGTCTGGTCTCTAGTGACCAACTTTTGTGTCACTTTGAGCGTGGTTTGAGTACAGTTGAAAAGCGAATATATGAATATTTTCACGCCCGTATTCACAAACATTACTATGAGGTCTCACAGTGCGCGTGGACGCACAGGGTGACACACAAACCAATCACAGAGCTCTATTCAACGCTGTGTGTTCGATTTCTTGGTTCACTTAAGCAAGCATCTTTTGTGAATACGGACGTTACTCTACAGTGCTGAAGTTGTAAGCAAAACTCACTGCCAAGAAAATGTTTTTTTTAAAAACACTTACCAGTTTTACTAGCAGCTTTAGGAGCAATCCTTCACAATACACAAATTATTATTAATAAGAAAAACTTTTTCACTAGTTCACTCATATTTTTACCCAGTTTTCTTGAAACACTGGCACTAAAACTGTTTTTTTTTTCAATTTCATCCCGCCCACACACGATGACATTTAAAGCCTAAACAAAATAGGAAAATACCGTGATTGGTTCGAGTCAATCAACGCGCAATTCAAATTTAGAACAGCGCCTTTGTTGAGCGTTCCAAATTCGAATGGTTCGGTCCGATACAAATAGTGGCAGTTTTTTCTTAATTTATTATAGGCACAGAGTATTGTTTCGGAATTCATAGGTATTGTTTTGTTAAACTGAACTTTTTCGTAGCAACAGGTCATGGCTTTTGCTTAGGAATACATTTATAGGTAATGGTTCTGTTTGTTGATAATATGAAAATGTTAAGTTTGATATAATTAAAAATGTTCATTACATTAACATTTCCAATAAGTTAGATATGAGTATGTAGGTTGTCTAAATTGCAATACTAGCTGATTCGGCGAACTTCGTATCGTAACACCTATGAATGTTCAACAGAAATAATTAAGATTCTATGGTGAAATTTTTTTTCAAATAAGTCTAGTAGTTTCGGAGCCTATTCTAAACAAACAAACAAATCTTACCTCTTCAGAATGTTAGTGTAGTTAACAATTTATTTCAACGATGACTAACTGATTGTGACTTCACACACACGTTACACACGGTCACATTTCATAACCTGCTGTATGGTTTCCCAGGCGGTTGGAAGGCACAGAGTCACATAATCCTAAACTTTTTTATTTCTCCCCAGGCGGCTGGAAGGCGTCTCCCACAGTCAGAAGCTGGTCAACGGCAGGTACTCAGCAGTGGCCATGATCACGCTGAGAGACGCCGACCTGCCCTCCCCAGCAGAGTTCATCTGTATGCTGAGGATACCGCAGGCCAACTACGTAGTGAGGAAAGAGGCTATCTATTATCCGGGTATGTGTTTTCTTTCTTTTTTATCTTCTGGATGCTTTGTTCCAGAATAATCTCATCATGAGTACGTCTGAAAAAGCGCTTAGAAGTGCTTGTAAGCAAAATAGCGATCGTTAAGCGGTAAGCGCTGTTACTGCTAAAAATGAATGAAACACGTTACCTACTATTAAAGTTAGCAAATGTGTCCTCGCCGACGCGACAACTGTATAGTTTGTTTCTCAGCGCTAGCAAGCGCTTTCAAGTGCTTTTTTCCGCTAAAGCTCCCATGTTTTTAGTTTTATATCAGCCATTTTTTATACTTATAAGACGGGAAAGTTGGTACAAAATGAAAATTCAAACAATAGGCTTTATTGTGCCTTTTCTGCTCAGTGATGGCTGATGGCTTTCATAATTTAGACTGGTGTAGAAGGGCTACAATGTGTTCTAAAGAAATAAGATACTAGTTTTTATGAAGTTTGAAGTAGGTTGTTTTGAGTCAATATTTTATAGCCAGTATAAAATAAGCTATATTTATTGATTCTACACGTCTTCTGAAAAGTACGATACAATAAGGTTATTTTTCAATGTCTTATTTTCAATCAAGGATACTGTATCACATGAAAATCGTACTTACCTATTCTAGTCGGTTTTTCAGACTATGAAAACAATTCACAAAATTGTAACCAAAACTCGTTACCGCGTGTAACTTCTCGTTAAATAAACCGGCAGGCGTACTGATATTTTTCCTATTATATTCATAAGGTCACAGAATTTTTAACTTTCAGAAATGAACTGGTTGAAAGTAGAAGTTAATAACTTCATTCAGCTATTTTATTTTAATAAAAAAGTCACGGAGCCGCCTACTAAATTGAATGAATTTCTTTATCGCCTTTGCAAAACCAACTTATGAATAGGGTCCTCAGTTTTTATAAGTAGACAATGAAGACGGGCTGCTGACAGGCGAATCCCACAGTAGATATTGGCTCAGTAGAGCTATTTTGACTATTGCACAGCGTGTTATGGAGAGGGTTATGCTCGGTGTTTCTTTACGAGATCGAATCAGAAATGAGGAGATCCGTAAACGATCTAAAGTTGCTGACATATCCCAACGGATTAGCAAGCTGAAGTGGCAATGGGCAGGGAACATAGTGCGCAGAACAGACGGCCAATGATAGCAAGGTTCTGGAATGGAGGCCTCGTACTGGAAAACGCAGCGTAGGACGTCCACCCACAAGGTGGACCGACGACCTCATAAAGATAGCGGGAAGGCGCTGGATGCAGGCCGCCACCAACCGGCCATTGTGGAAATCATTGGGGGAGGCCTATGTTCAGCAGTGGACGTCCTATGGCTGAAATGATGATGATGAGGGCTATTTGAAATAGTAATTCCACGCTTTGCGATATTGAAACAAAAATTAGTTACTGCAAGGTAAAAGTTTAAATGAGGTCCTGTTTATCAGTTAGACTCATTGGAGGAATTTCGTGCCTGATAAATTAATATTGATAGACTGGCAGAGATGAGTGCTACAACTCTCTCAGCATGGCGATCATGACTCAATAAAATTGTTTCAATATTATTTGGACATCTTACTTCACAAAAATGTTTACATTTAGGCCGCATGATATTCGCACATACAAATCAATGAAGCTACTCGTACCTACAATTTTATTTAGGTGTACTGTAGGTATAAAGCTTAAGTGAATTGACAGGTGGTTCTGATGATGATGTACTCGTATATTATGTAGACTTATGACACTTAGTAATGTACTATGAACCTTCTGAAGCGACCTTAATTACACAAGCACAAATAAAAGCTGTTTATTTATTTAAAACAAGCAATTTAACCGCTTTATAAGTTAGCGAATGCTATTAATGCGGACCAGAGAAAAGAATAAGGGGGGATACTTTTTAACGGGGAGGCATGGAAATAACAATTTCGCCAAAATAATTTGTGAGAGGGCCATTTAAGCTTTTATCAGGGCCAACTTTGTGTACACAGCTATCTAAATTGTAGAGCGAGATGAAACATTTCCTGCCACCATTCCTGGTGAATAATTTTATGGTTCGTTAACTCCATTGTGGCAGGAAAAAACGCGGTTTAATAGAATATCTGGACAGTACATATGCGAGCAGTAGACTTTAGGGAGGGCTCGCCATATTGCTACAGGTATAGTGCAGTACGTTCCTGTGGGAAACCTCGTTATTGTACGTCAAATTTTACGAAACATTTAGGTTGAGTTGCACCACCTAACTTTGACCGTAAATTTGAAAATAGCCTGTGTTTTTTTATGGATTATGACAGATTTTTGACGTTTGTTAAAGTTAAAGTAAGACGGTGCAAACCAGCTTAAAAGTAGTACCGTAACAGCTCCGTTACGTCATAATATGTGACCCCTTCAACGCTTCACTGTTGTAGGAACTCAGCTATGCGCTATGCCTGTACAAACGCTGAATTATTGCATCTTTACTTACTTAAAACGGCCTTTCATAAAAATATCTTTTGAATGTTTGCTTTGAATACCATTCTAGTCAGAAAAAACTCTGTACTCTACTCCTTTAGATCTAGCTCTTATCTCTCAGTGCCTGAGGAATGGAAGCAGCACGGGAAGCCATTGATATTTATGACGTGACAGAGTATTTATTATAAATCTGAAGAAGATCTGAACTGAAGGAGGTCTCACTGACGTTTGATGTTACAAAAACACCCTCCCGTGCTCCCATACCTCAGGCACTGACTGACCTATAGTATAGTTGTGATTTAGTACAAAAATGTACACTAATGTGACTAGAAAAAAAACGATATAAAGCTGTATTATTACTGACCTCGCCGTACTTACCTCCAATATTATGATATCGGCAAGGGAGTCAGCACAAACATTTTTTTAGGTGTTCCCCCGGCCACTTAATGAAAAGTCAACAAGCAGTAGTTCCGAAGATTTCGGGGCTTCCCCCGTGTGATTGGAAGACGGATTATTATGATTGATTTTGTGTTCTATTTTCCTGACGTAAGGACTTTGTTTGCAAGGAACTACAATGCTGTGGTTTATAAATTATTGGTTTGACCCGATGAACGGTAATTCATTGATTTATTTTGTAGCCTTTGGGTTAGTGGAAGTCATTTTGTCATAATTAATAAATAGATTTTGTGGTTTGGTATTTAAAGAGAGAGTAGTAAATCACCCAAACATATATTTTAATATTGAAATATTCAAGAAATAATTAATTGGTTGTTAAAATATTTTTCATGAGTAACGAAATGTCCGTCGTCCAACAACTTGAGAGAGTAAAGTATTCTATTTTAGGCACACAATAAGTAAATAGTGAAAATGGAAACGGGCAAAAATGGGTATTTTATGCAAGTTACAGCTATAATTCTCTGAAATTACAACTTAGCTGTTTTGAACATAAGCACAGCACTGACAGCAAATACATTGCGGTTACAAAATAGCCTCTTTTACAAGCATATAAGGTTCAGCATTCAGCTTGATGTGCTCTCACGACTTTGTACCCTGTTCGTCACGATATCATACATCACGTTCCCACTTCTGTCTGTATTTCCATAGAAAGTTTCAGTTTATCAGACTGTCAACTCTCTCCCTTAGGTGTGACGTAATTTATGAGAGCCCCAAAAAGTGAATAGAAGGGGAAACACGTCTAAAATAATGGGTTTCTTAGGCTGAGTTGCACCACCTTATTTTAACTGTAACAATTACAATAACCGGTGCTTTTTGTGTGGAGTTTGTCAGATTTGGACGTTTGTCAAAGTTAAAGTAAGATGGTGTAACTTAAGCCTTAATCTTTGGTCTTCATAGCCGGGAATCGTTTGTCATTTGTTACGGGAGTAATAATAATAGTAAATACACAGACACTGAGTGTGGTTTGTGTGTTTCTACGAGATGAAAGGACGTTGACATGGTTCTTGAAACGATTTTAATGTAATTTGTATGTTCGGTTAATTAAAATGATTTTAGTAATATGGTTCAGTTTTAGGGACATTGTTTTTATAAAATTTTATTGACTAACTAATTTGAATACATACATACATTTGAATTTGTACTAAGTAGATTAATTATCTAAGATTTAAGTTTTAGTTTATAGTATTTAAACCATTTGGTGATTCAACTATAGGCATTAACCCTACGGCGGTCGCGCTCTAAAATATTACGTAAATGGTCGCGTGGATTACATGCGTAAGCCATTTTATGGAGTAAAAAAAGAAAACATCTCTTTATAAAAACATGTTTCTTTATTTTTTATATTTATTGTTATGTATTAGTTAATGAAATAATCAAACAAAGAAACGAACAGTTCTTCTCAGTTTTTATAAATTAACCAAAACATAAAAATCATCATTTTTCATCAAGAAAATGTCAACTTTGGCAGTTTAGAAATTATTCAGTACTAATTGCACTTATTTATTAATTATATTTTGAAAAAGAGATACAGGCCATCATGGAATGATAAGGACAAATAAATTTGTTGCACGAATTACAAGTATTTCCAGAACTTTTATTTCGCTTTCTTCCGCAGTCAAAGTAGCGACCTAAAAACCTCCGCTGTGATGGTTCTGAGTTAGATGGCTAATCACTGGTCTGTGAAACTTGTTCTCTTGGAAGAATGTGCACTTCTTCATCAGAAACCGAAGAGTCGCTAGAAGATACGCTTTCATTGTCAATTACTTCTAGCCATTCCGCAATTTGTGCTTTTTGTCTATTGTTCATGATTTTTATCTGAATTACAATGATTTTATTGAAAACACAAATGTAAATACATACCTGTGCCGTAATTATTTATTATAAAGCATTAATTTACACTAATAATGCAAAAACAAACACAATAAGCAAAAAAGGTAACTTAAAAAATACTTACGTAATTGGTCGCGCGGATTACACGGGTAGACCATTGGCATTTACGGGGCTCCTGCGACACATCCACACGCGACCTGGCGCTCACACGTCATTAAGTGTGATCTTCGACTATGCAACTTAAAGTACACGAAGTATCAAAACGATCGCGTTGACCGATTTTAAAATATTCGACAATTTGCACGAGTGGATTACGGGTGTAATCCACGCGACCACTGTAGGGTTAACCTACCTAAAATAACAGTTCATTCTAATATTTAAAAAGGATGATGGGCATATTGGGCGTTAAACCAACAGAGACAAAAAGTATACTAAATTAAAGCTTAATACTAGTACTTCATTTCATAGTATGACAACAATCCTGAAATACGCGGGGATACGGAGATAGAGGTCGTTGAATATGCAAAGTTTTCATAGTATTTCACATCACATTAGGGTAATAAAAATAGTATTAGGTCAATTATATTGCTTTTATCGATCATATACTCTCAGTATTGTATAATATCTTACTATCGATTTAGTAAGTATGTATACCGAATAAATCACAATCGATTATTCGATTGCAATAATCGATTATATTGCTGAAAATAAGGAATTGAATTCACAATCAAATGACAGTGATGATGGTAATCAAATCGATTAATCGAATTGTTAATCGATAAATCGTTATTTGGCAATATCGATTAATAATCCATCCGTGATCGATTATGCGAAAACACTACAACTTATCTGGTAGAAATCCCATTGAAACATGACTGTGTTCATGTTATTTCTCTAAATGGTACTAAGGTATGGTCCTACGCTTATAATGTAGAACATGGTTTAAATATACCATTTTTTGGCCCCACTCCTGAACTGTTGGACATAATAATGGATAAATAACTTAATGTATCTAAAATGTAAGTAGATAAGTATATTAATTAATAATATTTTTTGTTTGCGCAATAAAGCACCTATTACTATTACACATTATGTCAATTTCCAAGCAAACCCGGGAGTTTTTGGTAGTTATTTATATGAAAATATATTTCTGATTTTAAGTCCTAACAAATAATAGTAGTTACATTTCTGTTGGTTTTACGCCCAGATTCCATAGAAAAGTGCCCATCATCCTTTATCGATAAAACACTGTTTGGAGCTGCACTGCCGTTCTGCCCACGCTCCTCGACTTTTTGCGTGGGACTGAATTGTGACTTATTCTCTTTTAAAATTTTAAGCAATGTTCCATCCGACTTACCCATTTTCCTCGTAAAGAATATAATTTTACATTTTGAACCAAAATAACTCCCCTTTGATGTACCTGACAGTAAAAACATTTTATAACTTTATAAGAGCCTTTATGTGTCTTTAATTAGGAAAATCCGGTCATTTGTGCTGAATCCTACTTATTTTACCTAACCTATAAAATACCTGCTACCCTCAATTTCATTGGTCATCATAGATATCAACGTTTCGTTTTTAGTCAGGGAGTGAATGAATGACCTTTCCCTTCTAACCCTTTTACTCAATGGGATAATGTCCCAACCAATTCCAGGAGGGGTAGTCACTTCGATTTTTATTAACATTGGGCTAGTGTGTCACATGGCTCCAGGTTTATCACATAATGATTTGATAGAAGTCTGGTAGCTAGAACGAGCTATGATATTATGTTTTAAGATTTAGTATAACCACTTATTGACTTCAGAGCTTCTAAAATTGAAAACTAAACCCTAGTAAAGTATTCTTCAAAGAATTTGTGTCTTGGTGTCATTGTTAATAGTCAACACTGTACCTTTATTACTAAGTTACTAAAGATTGATATACCTATTGTTCACAGGCCCTATTAGCACAACACCAGAGATGCCGACGGCAGCGGACATGCAACTAGCAGCGGCTGTTGGAAGGTCTAAAGGTATAAAATCATTTATTTTTTCTGATCAATTTTCATACAAAATAATTATTTCTGGATTATGTTCTGTAATAGATTTACTTTGCGTGGGAAGTCCACCTACAAGGTGGACCGACGATATCGTAAAGGTAGCAGGGAAGCGCTGGACGCAGGCCGCTACCGAAATGATGATGATGATAGATTTACTTCTTATATTTTATGCTAGATCTTTCAACTTCATTAGAGTGTCAGAAGTTGTCCCATAAGAATATTTTAGTATTAAAAAAAATGACTCTTTTATTTATCGAATAAATTACGAACTAAGTATTTGACATTATTTTGAAAAGTTGGTTATTTTAGACTTAATGTATTAAATAAAATCTTTATGTCATTTTTGCTATCAATAGCTAGAGACCATCGCTGAGGAGATTTTCTCAATTTGTTTTCTATTCCTGTAAGGTTGAATGTTTGATAACCCCGATAAACTTTTTAATCTCTCCGCTTACCCAGCTTGGGTTTTATGATTATTATCATAAGATTACTTTTGCAACAAAACTAAATCATCCCGGGATCCCTTAGGACCGCGATTACGGTACTTGCAATAATCAAGCGAAGATAAGAAGTCCTCATTAATTTCGTCCAATTTTCCGGGATAGGCTCTATTCGGATTACGATGGCCCTTTGCTAACACAACATTATTCCTGTTATCCTTATCCAGACTGACGTGTAACATATTATTGCTATATTGCGTTGTTTTTATACCTTTGTCATTGTGTTTGTAAATAATTTATTAATAACACACCAACAATTAATAACCTACCACAAAATGCAGAATTTTAATTTCAATTTTATTAAATGCATTTTATTGCCTTGTTTATAAAATATGTGTGTCATTTCTTTTCAGACGCTTTATAAAATATGTGTGTCATTTCTTTTCAGACGCTAAATGTTTTCGAAAGTGCAGAAAATTGCAAACTTTCATTTTCTTAATAATTTCTAAGACAAGCATAAAAATTTTAAGGTACATTGTTATTGAGATCTAATATAAATTACCCTCTTTGTGGCATAGTCGGGTAATAAAACTATCATTGAAGCAATTATATTAATTTTAATACATTTTGTTATTGGTACTTAGGGAATAGGAATCTCACCAAGAGTCATTGGTATGAAAATGATGTCTTCTTTATTACTTTAAAAAGGCATTATTCTAAAATCATAAAATGACCATTAGTATTTATCTCAATTTCATGGTTGCTTTTAGATAAAATAAAAAAGGAAATATCTTCTCTGAACTAAACTCAATACTTCGCTCTTTTCCAATGGTGTCAGTTTTACTTTTCCAATTAGAGCTGTAATTAAAAGATAGACAATGGGTTTTAGATTACATTTCGAAGTCTGAAAGTACAGCTTAGACGTCGGTTAAATGAAAGGCTGCAGCGTAATTGACTTTGAGTTTTCTGATGCTGCGTTTGCAGTTCGGTCGATTCGAAGATTTCAACATGTGGCGGTATTTTCTTTAAATGTTGCCTACAATATTATATTTTCTTTTGATAAAATCTTGATTTATTTATGATAAACTTTATGAAGATCTCTTTCATCGTCTTAATAATTCTTCAAGCCACTTTGTACAGAGTTAGATATTGTTGATCCAATAACTTAGCAATGAAAGGGGTATCTGTTTTATAATGAGGCATTGACTACTTTTGTAACTAATTTACATTCATGTGACGGCACTAAAATGTTTAGTATCTCTAAAAACGTAGGCATAAGGTTAGTTGTTATACGTTATAATTTCTAATTGGGATCAACTTGTTTCAGGTGCAATTTTTTATAAAGCCATCACGACGCTGCTGCTGCCATTTGTGATGCTCGTGGTGATATCGTAAATAGACAAAGTGGTAAGTAACTTAAGATTTTCTATAAGCCCTTTGATATCAATATTCTTTCTAACAAATTTTAAAAGAAGAATGTTTTGAATAATGAATAAACAAATATACATAGTTTAGTTCGAACATAAACTTATCGTTCCAAAAGGCTTACCACAGTTAAATTAAAAATCTACAAAGTATTATTGACCTACACTATTTACTAATAATTCAAATGTTGAAACAACATCACTAAATATTCTTGTGTTTTTGTTTCAGGTACAGAAATGGCTAAGAGTTCGAACTTATAAAGTTTCAAGTGAGGCTTCAACCTCTAGTCAAACCCAAAGTGAAAACGCGTGGTCTCCCGCAAGGGACAATTTTAGGCACACAATCTAATGTCCTGCAAACCAAATAGCTTCAATGTGTATTCTTTAAACATTACCAAATTCTATGAACTTTAAGTCGTAGCTATCGAATTGTACAGATATGTATGAATTTCATATAAAAATATTTTTCTTAAATTATAAAAACCAATAGTTAATGGTTTGTAAATAATGGCATTTTTAAAAACGTTGTAAATATTATAAATTGGTGGAAGTAGATAGTTATGCTGAATGGCCTAATAGTGTTGGACGTTGTTTTAACTATAATACAATTAATTAATAATAAATTAGTGTATTGTTTAATGCAAAATACCGAAAAAACGTTACTTTGTTAAGACTTATTTATTTATTCTTTTTTTAGAAGGCATAATATTTCTAATATATTTTTATGTAATAACTGTCTATGTAGGTATAGTAGTTCGTATACTTTAATGATAAGTTCATTTATTTTGTTGAACATTAACTTTTTATGTAACTTATTTATTATTTAATTCTAGATAAAACACGTCCAAAGATAGGTTATGAAACACGTATAATAAATAGCTTCGTTGCTTTTTTCAGAAGTTATCAGTTATTGATCTTTTTTTCTGGGGGGTTTGTCACAGCAGTAATTTAAACATCGTTAGATTTATTTTGTCAGTCTTGAACATCTACAGGCTTTTCTTTGATAATGTAGCGAAGCGATCGCGATTTAAAAACTAATGTTACATTGTCTACGGTCATTTACAATATTATTCATTTACAATGAGTATATTTTATGGGAAATTTTAAAATGAAAATACTATGACATACCCACCTTCAGATCAGAGATCAATGACACAACCAAAATTTTAAAATCACTGTTGACTATTTATTTGTAGTTATGTGTGTGGAAAATAAAATTTTCATTAACACTTTATATCGTAGCTCCCAGATTTAAAATAAATATGGGTCTATCACACGACACTTGAAATAATTAAATAAATATTTATTTTAATTCGTATTCATCCAAAATTGCATAAACAAAAAAGTTTATTCATAATTATTTTTAAATCTGGGTGTTGTTATTCAAAAATGTCCCTTATTATGTTAGTAAAATACACTTACGAAATACGTATAAACTGTACAAATTTTACGATGTTGTTTTATTATTTTGAAGGGGAGATCCCCTCCCAAACAGGGTATCGTGTTTATTTAAATTATCATTTTTAATAATGTCACAGTTCGATATTGACTTTGGACAATATTCTATAAATTATTTATGCCCTTATTCGTAAACTTATTTTAAATCATAACTAAATTATTATTGTGATTGTATTTATTTTGTCCTTAAATTAAAATTGTGTCACCGCATTACTTATTTTGAATAAGCATTAAATGTTTATTAGAAAATTAACTAAACTATTAAGTAGAAAAAGAAAATTTGTTCATGAATAAGGGCGGATGTAAATAAATGTAAGAAATTTGTATGACCCTTAGTGTAAGTTTTTATTTGTGTAATAAATATTACATTTGCTGTGCATACTGCCGTTTATGGATAAGATCCAGTCAAGACTTTTATTGTGAGATTTCTTAAATTAAATAAAAAGGATCGTTGTGTAAATTTTGATTGTTTTATTTATGGCGTCAGACAATTAATTTACAAATTTCAAAAAGTAAAGCTTATTAATACTATTATTTTACTATTTTATTGTGTTGTGAACATGAAAAAGACAGATATTGAAAGACACTAAGTTAACTTTCGCGTTTCATTTCAAAAACAAAACTATTGAAACTACATATTGTTACAGGTTATGCTTAATGTTGGATATATGTTTCTAGAAACAAATCTGCTCTTAATAGTTTCTTAAACAATAACAAAATATAAGAATTATGGTTATTTTATTTCATAGAAAACAAAACAAGAAACTTACTTTCATAGATTTTAATTCAAACAATTTGACCTAGACGAATTAGAGTCCCTGGAAAATGTAGTATAATAAACGCGGTATCTGTAATTTTAACGGTATATTGCTAATGATTCAACCGGTTATAATCATTAAAATGACCCAAACCTGGAGATCCCTTGAAATCCCTGACTGTTACATTGTGTGGTACAAGTTACACGTTTCAACTATAGACACTTTATTTTGAATTATCAGTTTTCACTACTAATTTAATTAACTTTTTATGAGCCGTAATCGCCATCTAATCATAAGAGTTCAAAGCAAATGAAAATGTTTAAGACGAATTTCATTGTAATTGCTAAAATTTAACGTCTTTAGAAGAGTTCAATGAGGAGATAATATTATCAACTATCAAATTGAGTCACATCTTATGAAGGGATGTAGTTTTTGAAAACATCAGAATCCAGACTAATCCTATGTAAAACTGAAGGTAATTGAAGGTATTTGAAGTTTCAATATTACTAAATAATGGCGATTCCAAATAATAGTATACCTATCAGCTGTAAAGTCATATTATTATGAATGATTCACATTCATGCATCTGTTGTTTAACCACATAGCTCAGACCTAGTCAAATATTAAGCTCCCACAAAATCTCTTTCTGTTTTTACCTTGCACCGCGTTTGTAACAACCCAACCTCGTTACTGTTAATACCTTGCTGTCTTTTGTGAAATTTGAACCCGAAGAGGGTTAATACTGCTCTAAAGAATCCAGCTTCAAAAGCATTTTTAAAGCCCATTGACATTGCTTTGTTTTATCGGTATATTTTTAGGTCAAAATTACTTTCTATCGGTCGCTATCAAATTTTGTAATCTATAATGAGTTTGAAAGACGAGCCGAAAGTTTTGCGAACAAAACAGTATGAATTACTTCTTTGGAACAAAGTGAAAATACGCTGATTTTTTTACGAAAATTAAACGGACTAACTTTATGGCGTTAAGCATGCGAAATTTACCCCCTTTAATATTGTTGAATTGACAAAAAGCATAAAAGTTCTATATCCATTTATTGTAGAGAGTTCAACCTCCGGTTTTATTAACTAATTCGATCTAGATTATGAATACAGTTTCAACGCAGTCAACATTCAGCTGACCCAGGACATCGAGAGAGCAGGAAACTGAAGAGGTAAGAGGGTAAGAATACATTCTACTCAAGGATCTACATGTTTTTCCCTAAGTACCAGATTCACAAGTACTCAGAACATCATGAGAAACGCAAAATTCAAAGAAATAGAATAGAAGTAAATTTTAATGAAGAACTTAGATTAAAAATTAGGTATCCATTTGCAAAAGTTTTCAAACCTTCGGATAAAAAAATAGAATAACAACTTTATAACCTAACCACACGTCTTATTAGCTGCAAAGAGACATCTTAGAATAGAAGTGCCATCTAATGGTCCCAAATTAATGGATGACGGCAAAACATGACGTTAACCCTCAATACACCTCCGTAGAAAAGTAACCAGCATCAAACTTTTATAGTCCCAATCAATCAAACAGTAGCCATGACTCCGCACGAATTAGAAAACATTTTCGGATGCATTAGACCATTCCCGCGAGTTTCGGACTAACCCTGAATAATAGATACGCGGCTCACTCCCGGACGAATTACCAGCTAAATTATTGAGCACGCCACCTCTGACCGTTGGCATGGGAAATAAATCGACTGCTTACTTGAGGAGTAAGTCAAATGAAAGTTCCCAATTGATTGACGTCTGGCAATTCGGTTGATCGATGCATACCCTAAACGAGAGGGATACAAGTTTTTCATGGCTTCGTTCTTCGTTGGCCTCGTCGGCTAATGTGAAGAGCTGGCTCAAAGCAACGAGATTATCGATAAAGCTCGATTCACACATATCAGTGAAGCCACAGTTCCGTCACAGTGTCCGTTCAGTTCAGTATCAGTGCTACAGGCAGTGTTGCGTCAGTGAAATATTTTGAAATGTCAGAGCTGTTTCATTATTCTTGTTCAGAAACCATGAAGTAAGTTATTTTGTTTTTGATGCCGCGGCGTCATCCGTGATCCGATAAAAAATATCGTTGTCGACGAATACGTCCGTGATTGCCGGTGTCGGCACTGACACTGAGAGCACTGTGTCGTCACTGACACTGACAAGTGGGGATGCGTTCATAGAAACTGTATGAAAGAATATTTCGCACTGTGCCGGTAGGTACTGAGCCTGAACTGTGACTTCACTGATATGTGTGAGTCGGCCTTAAGTGTTCGAGAGGTTTCTAGAACACTAGACTTATCGGTATCAGTCATCTATTGTTAGTTCCTTGATCGTGTGATGTTAAAAGTGTAGTTAACCCTTCAAGTAGCTGAAGAGTGAGGTCGCAAAGGAACGCTTATTTTTGGATTAATAATCCTTATTATATTTTATCTCCTTCAAATCAGATCAAAGCAATACAATAGTGTTTGAGAATCTACTGGATTAAATGCTGTGTGAAGAGTGATGCGAGAACGTATGAAATTTCTCGAAATTGTCATGAGGTATTCAATCCCTTCCTAACGTAGGCTTACTTTGTAGTTTCAACTAAGTAGACATAATTAGCAGACACTATGGTTGGAGAAGGAATGACAGTTATAATGTGACAATTTTGTGTCACCACCGAAGAAAGAACCACTTAAGTTGACTAAGAGTAGGCGCACACCGTTGATTTTTCGTCAGCCGATAGTTTAGTCGGGCAGTTGATCAGTATGGGCATTGGGCATGTATGGGAGTGCGCACACTACGCCGATTCGATTTGACCGATTCTTCATACAAATTAAAATCGGGCACAACTATCGGCCAACTAAAAATCAACGGTGTGCGCCTACTCTAAGTGTGCTCTAAAACAAAACAGATATCGTATTAAACATTAAGCATAATTAAATTTCTATTTAATCCGTAAAATATTATGTAAGCTAAAATCCTCTTGTTTCGTGGATTCCTGGTTGAATGGCTGACGCATTTATAAATGGATTCCCGAAACGTATTTGTTCCAAATAATGGGATTTGAAGCCGCTGTCAGAAGGCTTTATAACAGAATTAGTAGAATTTGTGTAAAATACAGTGTGAGTCACGTTAAAGTGTACATATGAAAATAGATGAAACTAGACCTATTTTTATCGACAAAAAAGAGGTCAATTTTTTTTTGAGATTTTTTTAAAATTTTTTATCGAATTTTTTTTCTTCCAATTACCTATTGTAAAGAAAACGTAATAACTTTTAAACTAAGCGGTATATCCTGATAAAATAAAAACAGTTATAATGCTAAATAACAGGCGATACTAAAAAAATACATAAAATACACAAAAAATGCCAAAAAATAATAAAAAATGATACTTTTTGAAAAAAATCTGCTTCAAAATTCGTGTTTTTTTGGTTATTTGATAAATTTCTCCAAAAAATGCCCCTATAACAGGTGGTTTTTATTACTTTGTATTATTCTCTATTGTATTACCTTCGTAAAACCAAAAATCGCATGTCTCTATCCCTATCACAACGTTTGCAATGATCGTTTGAACTAAGCCTCTCCGGGCGCGCTATTCAACGCTTCGTTAACAACGAAACTGAAAATGGCTCTAGATTTGTAATTTAGATAAAGACAAGTTAAATTTAAATAAAAACAAAAGATTTCGAAGTAAAATAAGCATTTTAGTTGAAATTAAAATTTTCTCTGCCTGCAGGCGGAGAATAATGTTGTGGCAGGCCTTTGTTCAAACGCTCATAGCAAATGTTGTGATAGGGATAGAGACATGCGATTTTTGGTTTTACAAAGATAATACGATGGAGAATAATACAAAGTAATAAAAACCACCTGTTATAGGGGCATTTTTTGGAGAAATTTATCAAATAACCAAAAAAACACGAATTTTTAAGCAGATTTATTTCAAAAAGTATCATTTTTTATTATTTGTTGGCATTTTTTGTGTATTTTATGTATTTTTTTAGTATCGCCTGTTATTTAGCATTATTACTGTTTTTATTTTATCAGGATATACCGCTTAGTTTAAAAGTTATTACGTTTTCTTTACAATAAGTAATTGGAAGAAAAAAAATTCTATAAAAAATTAAAAAAAAATCTCAAAAAATTTTTGACCTCTTTTTTGTCGATAAAAATAGGTCTAGTTTCATCTATTTTCATATGTACACTTTAACGTGACTCACACTGTATACAAAAGCGGCGCACTGGTAAGTAGAATAGCAGTTAACGCTAGAGGTTTGAGGTTCGATGATCAGGAAGCCAGATGAAAGAACTTGAAGTACTGAGACTGCAGGTGTCTATGGGCGACGGTAATCACTTACCATCAGGTGATCCGTCTGCTCGTTTGCCTACTGTCACATAAAAAAAATAGAGTCTTTTCACATACGAGCACATGAGTTAAACCCATATTTGACATTATTAATTCGTTTATTCATATTCATTAAGTAGGTATAACGTAGGTAAATTAGTTTTCATAAAATTCTTAATCACTCTTAAATATCAATTTAGAAAAGACGTGCCTTTTTCAAATAAATATTACAAATTCTTAGCTCTAAACTCGGAACTACTCATTGTAATTAAGACAAATAATATAACGTAATACCTCTTCTAATATTCAGTGCGGAATCGCTTCAATATTTCACAAGCAATATCGCGGCACTAGTTGCGGGTGAAAATATTTCATATC